CTGTGCTGCAGCTGTTTCTCCAGACGACCTGCTGTCTGGCACGCTGACCTCGGAAGGCCTCTCCACTGTGCAGCGCACCTTGCGGCTGCGGGGGCTGAACCAGATCTTGAAGTTCTTCTTGTGTTTTAAGACAGGGCTCCCAGGTTGTGACTGATTCTCAGCAACTGAGTCTGTAATGAATCAATGTAAAAACACATTTAACAAAAAACTAAAAAACTTTCCCTTCCCCAGCATACTATAATTTTCCATTGTGAATTGCTGTCAAAAAGGTTTGTTGTATTTGCAATAACTTCCCCCTACCTGTTAAGATGAAAACTAGAACAACAGAAAACTCTGAATTATGTGTTGTCAACCAATGATATACTGACATTTGACAGAGGTAGAGAAATACTGAATCAACTCACCAGCCCTTAGTTATTACAATGTACATTGAGACACAGCAACCAGGAGATTTGTTCACATTTCAACAACAGGGCTGAGAAAGTTGCTCCACAGTTCTTTATCAAAGCTGAGATCTACTAGCAAAGTAAACACTACCATGGTTATCTGAATTTCAAATACTGTCATCAGCAGGAGACTGGATGAGCAATTTGAAAAGTAAAACACAGGAAGCACCCACTTAGGCTGTCATTCAGGGATCAGATTGGTGGAAACAGAGATGGAAGTGTGGGCAGACGACCGTGGGGTGAAAGATAATGAAAAGGACAAATGGACTTGAGAATGTAATTCTTAATAAGGCTTTCAACCTGCTATATGACAGGTAGCATCTACCTGGTTGGTCTGCAGGATTGAGCAGGGAGTCCAAATTGCAGAAGAGTTCTATAATGCTGCTCAGTTGCCTGTTGATCTGGATGTCCTTCACCCATGCAGGGCTTTGACACACCACGCAGCCATCTCCTGCCCGGGGGCCGGCACAGGACCTGAGCAATAAACATTCTTTGGATTAGTACTATATCTCAGGAAAAAGAAATACAAGGTTATCGATTTTGTTTTTAAGACCATTCAGTCATGGAGAGAAGGCATATATTAAGGCTGCAATTTATGCCTATCGAGACATTAAATGAACCCTTGACTTTGTCGACACATTTAGTGCCGTTAATAATACATTGCCATGGATATCCAGTAATTCATTCACACATACAAAAGCCCCATAAAAAATTAATTACATGCAGTTAAAAAAAATGGATGATTGAAGTTTGATGTCTCTAAAATAAACTTCAGTTTAGTAGAAACTCATGTGTTGCCTTCCCTATTTTGTTAAGCCTTGAACCAGGTTGTGACACAAAATCAAACAGAAAAAAATCAAGCTTGTTTTAAATAAGAATATTATAATCATGGTCACATTCCATTTAGACGTGCCAGTGAAACAACATGCACAATACCAGAGGCCTAGTAGTAGCACAACTAAATGTAATGAGCCTTCATTTAAACTATTGTCTAAACCTGTGTTTGAAAATGTCCTCCATGATACAGGTCTACTGTTAATGTGCATGTGAGAATAAAATGTGTTTAACCAAGGATGCATTACCTGCACACTATATGCTCACACGTTCCTAGACACACGGGTTCCTTCAATATATCCGAGCTGGAAAATAAAAGACAAATCATTTAAAAGTGTTCAGTACAGTCAGATTCAGCAAGGTCACCCCCATCACACAAGTATTAGTGCCCCCAGACTGAGTGCAAAGGAAAGGATAGTTATCGGCCATTTTCATAATTAGCACTCAGAACATACACTGAGGCTGATGGGTTACTGTTGCAGCAGAAGTATGCAGTTCTAAAACCTGAGTTATAATAAAACTCTGGCAGGATGATGGTAGATTAAAACCCAGGTTATCTATTTACAAAGTAAACATTTCTGGTCTGGTTGGGAGAGCACACATTGCTGGGAGAAGACCTCATCTGAAACATTTATGCAGAACATAAACGTCTGCAGTCACTATATAGAGCAGTAGTTCCTGGGGGAAGGAGGGTAGCAAGAGGATTTCCAGAAACAAAATATAATTTAAAAACAATTCAAAGATATTCAGCATCATCAATAGCAGGTTAGCAGGTTAGTTTACAACAACAACAACACATCAAACACCATTGCAACGTGACGTGCATTTAGGGGACTTTTTTGTGAACTCGCTCACTGGGATTATGGGGGTAGAAAGTCCCTGGCATGGCTATTTTGTGGGTCATGTGCTGGAAAGTTGGGGAAACTCTGCTACAGAGGACGTCCCAAGCAGCTGCATTACAGTCTGATTTGGTAATTACACCCGATGTTGGAGACAGCACAGAGCGGGATCTCAGACCCTGCATAGAGTATATTTACCTCTGCATAGGACTCCACTTACACAGTGTAGGACCCCTCCTCCACATCTTACACAGTCCTCCTCCCCCCCTGCCTTGTTGGCTGGATGTACAGAGGCATGATCAGATTGTGTAACAGCTTCTTTCTCAGGTACCTCAACATCTTGTCCAAACACTCACCCGAACCAAATCAACCCACCCACACACCCACACACCCCTTCATTTACAGTGGCACGTTGCAGAGGAGTGTTCTTTGAACTGCACCTAATACACACAGTGCCTTTTATGAAGCTCTTAATACATTATTCTACCTTCTGTTTGTATCAAGAATCAGATCTGAACTGGCAGTTTCTCTTCACACAACATGTCAGTTTGTTTATCCTCAGTCTTCGCCTGCTGTGTCATGTCATGTGCTGCATATTCACGCTCCCAAAACATAGCGTTTTATTCTTCTAGAGTGACTGATCGTTTTAATCAAATCATGTTATGTCTCCTTTATAATAGAGAACTATCTGTACAGTGTTGCTATGATATTGTTAGTTTATCCCACCATAGCACAGGAGCAAGCTAACAATCAGGGGTTATTAGACTGGATCTGAGTTGAAATGTGAGTAAAACCCAGCAGACAGCATTACACAATTTATTCTGCAAAAACACTTACTTGGAAAAGTAAGTGACTCTTAACCTTGAAAATAAAATGTATGTTATGTTTTATGTGGCCTAACAAGCTAACATTAAAATGCTGAAGCACTGGTTAGCCTGTTACAACCGAATACCTGACTGTGCGCAGTGGACTTCTTCTAAACTTAACGTTGAACCCTGTTTGATTTGACAACGTGACTGTCAGTAACAATGATCGTAAACAACAATGGACGCTCCTCCATAATAAAGCCAGTCTCCATCTGTAGCTAAACTTAACATGAACTTACCATTTGGAGCAAAGCAGCAGGCGGCGAAAGTTGGCAGCGGCCTCTTTAGTTTTCCTCCAGTCTGCTGTCTGCACGGAAACATCACCGTCCATCGTCAGGAGAAGTTATGTTTGTGTCCTCTTCTTTGTTACTTCAGTTTGCGAACCGACATTACAAAACAACCCGAACTTACTTCCGTGTTACTCACATCTCCCGCCAGATAGCAGGAAGTCACGGTTGCCTGGGCCACGACGATGACGTAGTTCCGGTGCTCCACCGAACTACATTGAGGTTGTTTTATTTTCCTGATAAACCGATTTAAAATGACTAATTATGCAGTGAATTATCTATTTATGTCACTTAAACTGAACACAGAGGATATATATTGATACTGTTTGTTTATTTAATATCTCATTATTGTCGGTCTTTGTACTTCATCTGCCACGTTTTTAATCATAAGTTAACTGCAAACATTTTCTAATTTTAAAGATGCACCGCAATACTTTTCATTCCTGGGCAAAACTGTTTCCTTCAAGGTTTTTATATGCTCAGTTTATTTCCACACTGATGATAGCAGGCCCAGCTAATGTATCGTGTTGGTTTAACGTATTAACCAAATGCCATTTGAAACAATCGAAGATGCACATACACATGCGTGTGAGCAAATATCCCCTCTGAGTTTAAATGTCATCGGGTCGTCTCCACTCAAGCAGAATGTCCCAACCCTATTTAAGGACTATTAAAGTTTGAGCCGTCTGGGTACCATTATGTGCACTGTCAACTCACCATTTATATGTGTGTTTCTGAATGTGTTTGTGTTTATAAATTATTTCCTTCACAATTTCAGTTTTAGATCAACCAATGTTCTTATCCGTTTAAGTCTATATGTTCTACACGAAATGATTAGCAGGAATATCACTCAGTAGACCTCAACAGTCCCCTTCAAATTCAATTTAGTCACATAAAGATATGCACACTTATGGATATTTATTTTACATTAAAAAATTCAAAAATAAAATGTAGGGATATTTATCCTCTAAGTATCTCTGCGTTATTTCTTGCGAAATTTACAAAATGTCAAAAAAAACATCTGCTTGCGATGTTCAAGAAAGATAAATAAAATTCCTTGATCTGCCCCTTAAAGGAACAGTGTGTAGAATTTTGTGATATCTAGTGTTGAAATGGCATGTTGCAACTGAATACCCCTGACCTCACCCTCTCCTTCTAAAGTGAAAAAGAAACTGTGGTAGCCATTAGTTGTCATAAAAACTCAAAAGGTGTTTAGTTTGTCCAGTCTGGACTAATGTAAAAAACATGGCGGCCTCTGTAGAGAGGGTCCCCTCGATGTAAATGTAAAGTATTTTAATATAAAAGGCCTTTTCTGGGGTAAAGAAAACTACAATTCATACAATTTAGATGAAATGAACTAGTGAAAACATCATGAGGTTTATTCTACATTTAATATCTGCCAATAGTTCCCTTTCACCTAAATCTTACACACTGGACCTTTAATGAAATCCGCTCCAAAAGTTAATGTGGTCTTCCTTGGCCCGTTCCCCATCCTCCCACCAGCGTATAATAAAATCAGTTCAGTAGTTTTAGTGTTATATTGCCAAAAGTAAGACAAAAAACCAAAAACAGACAAACAGCAATGAAAACATAACCAACCTCGGTGGCAATAAGACTGAAATCAGCTATAGTGTAAATGTGGTTTTGTGATTTTGTACAGCAAAATCAACAATACTTATTCAACAATAAAAGCACATGAGGCAAATGAGCAGCTGTTGCATTTGAAAATAGCTTTATTAGAATAAAAAAAATAGGCTTAATGCATTCAATGCCATTTAGAACAGGTCCATAAGTAGGAAAGACTACATTAAATAATTTAATCAATTACATCATATCATTTCATTCATTCTAAAAGTAGATATGCCCTAAGAGGAAGAGTTAATGAGTTGGATAAAAGTGCCTATTAAGGATGTTTGTCCAGAGGACTTCATCCAGAAAACATAAATCAAATTAAAATGATTCTAAATCAAAAATATGTCAAACACAATGCATTTAATCTCCTATGGAGTAATATATAGTAAACTGTCCATCAACCACAGAGAAAGAAATCAATAGTCTACATGATAACTTCATATCCTTCATAAATAACATATGTTGAAATCAAGGTAAACAAACAAATGTCCCGTAACATAGGAAAAAAACTTCTTTCACATGTGCATGAATGCAAACGTACATGAGTTTTTTGCTTCTCATTGCGAGTCTGATTTGATAAGGTTCCTTCACATATCTTTAGTCAAGAGAGTGAGTGAGTGAGTGAGTGAGTGAAAGAGGTAGAGAGAGAGTAAGCGAGAAGGAGAAAAGGAGGGAGGGAGGGAGGAGAAGAAGGTGGCAGTCAGGCAGTGCTCTATGCATCTACTGCCTTCTTGCAGTCCAGATCATAACACTCTTCTTCTTCACTGTGAATTGGTATGGTCTCCATGCCGATCTTTCCCATGGCGAAATTGATGAAGACCTGTGGAGATACAGAGACAATATATGAGCCATTATTCTCTCTGAGTGCCATAAATTTGAGCTAATCTGTTTGACAGTTTCCTCTGCAGCCTCTTTTTAGTGCCTTTGGTATCGTCCAATCCCAGAGCCCCAAAAGGGCAGAGTGGTTGAATACCGGCACTGGCTGCATATAAAGCTCACAGATTCTCTCCCCAACTCATATTCCATTTATTTTCCCTGAGGCATACCCTCTGTCAGTTTCCCTCTGCCTCTTTTAAACTTTCCTCTACTCAGTCTTTCACTCTCAGCTTTCTTCTGCCCCTGTCTCACTCCTCTCCTCTCATCTCCTGTCCCTTTTTTCTGTCCCCCGCCACCATCCACCCACCCCTACAAAACCTCACACTAGTCCTTCTTCCCCTTCTCTGTTTGTGTCCTGTCTTCCTCACCTCATCCAGTGTGGTCTGGCTCACAGAGAAGTGTTTGATCTGCAGAGCATTCTTGTTTGACTCCAGCTGGTCGAAGATGTCTGCCACCCCTCCTGGTGCAACTGGTACGTGGTACTCCACCATAGTGGAGTGCTGGTCCTGTGTGTTGAGATAGAGTGCACAAGTAGAGGGTTAAATATTCTTAAAAAACATGAAATACTATAACATACAAAGAAAAGTTGTTCAGAAAAACACATGTAAGTATATATACTTTTTGCCCTCCTCCATCAAATACTCTTGGCTACATCGGATACAATATGTGTATGTATATGTTTCTGGTTTCAGAGAAAACTTATAACACATGATTGACTACACCAAGAGGTTGTGTTTTTGTCTGTGTTTGCCTGTAATTTACCAGGATTACATAAACACTGCAGGAAAGATTACCACAACAGTTGGTGGGAGGATGTGGCATGTGTTAGGTAAGTGCCCACTGAAATTTGGTGTGGGTCCGGATCAGGGGGCGGATCCAGGACTAATTTGTTCAGTTTCTTTCTCATTGCCAGAATGGGGCGTTTTGCAAAATTTTTGTGGATTTCTCAGCGAATAATTCACGGATCTTGATGAAGAAATCTGTCATGTTAAGGGGACTGGTATTTATGAGTGTGTACAATTTGGTTAAGATCATAATAAAAATCTGGGTCTAATGAATCTAAATATGGATTCATAAGGCGACTGTTGGTGCCAGGCAGAGGTATGAGCTCTCTGAGTCCCTCATATTTCATATAGATTGAAACCTCCCCTACTTAATATTGCCATATTAACAATAGCCTTAAGTTTTAACCCCTGGTACACACCCTGTTAAATGCAAAACTGGTAGACACATTTAGTGACTTGGTTTTACACATGATGATGGAACAGCTAAAGAGCCAGACATTTCTCTCAGGGAGCCGATGAGGACAAAAGCAGAGCTCAAGGAAGAGAGAATATCAGACTAAGATTTGGCAGGTCTACCGAAACACCTCCAAATGAATAACATCATTATAAAATGATAAAAATAATTATTTACATCTTGTTGCACAACCCCCACAGTAACTCAAAAAACTATTAGTGCTGCGTTAAAGCTAGAAACCAGAAACCAGCTCATGTAAGGGCACACCAGTGGGAGTTAAGAGTGCACCTTCTGTTGATGTTCTACACAAATTAGTCAGACCTATTGTAAATGAAAAAGAACTCATGGCAACCAAAAGCTTATTTTAGAAGCATTTTTGCTATGTAATATCACAAGGCAAGAAAGTATTTGCACAGATTCATACACAACAAATCCAACTAAATGTATCGTGACATTCTACTGCTGTATTTCGCCTTTTTGCCCTCCTCCACCAAATACTCTTGGCTACATCGGACAGCTGACAAAGCTCACCTTGAGGTAAGTGCTGGGGAATCTGCGCTGCATGAAGCCAGTGATTGCATCTGCGTCGCAGGAGGCCTCAGCCAAGTACATCCTCACGGTGAACCCGCTGCCAAACCTGCACAGAGGAGATCGTACGAACAAAGCCCAGTGTTATAACAGGTCTGAGGGGTGGGGTTGAGGCCACAGTGGGGTGAGAAGAGTTGGAGGCTTTGCAGCCAGTGTGGAGAGCACCAATGGATGGATTGGAGGACGAGCAGAGGTCACTAACCTGTTCTTAATGTGCTGCAGAGAGCCCAGGCATCGGAACTGACCTTTATCCATGATGGCAAGACGGCTGCACAGCGCCTCACACTCCTCCATGCTGAGAGGCAGCGACAAAGACAGAAAGGTAAAAGGTCAAACTAGGACCCTTTGAGCATACACTAATCAGCAATGCCCACTGTCACACATAAATAAATATACATTTAGTCGCTTTCTACACTGTTATCTACAATATACTGTGGTAAAATTGCCAAAAACACAGATGGGATGCTGGATACAATACCAAGAAAAAACAGATGTTGCAGTTTGTATCCAAAATGTAAAAAACAATAGGTAAACAAACGATCGCAGCTATTTTACACGCCAATGCCCAGAAGTTCCATGTGTCTCATAACATTGCACCAGAAAAGGTGCATCATTTGACCTGGAAGTAAATGTTGATTGTATCTGTTCCCATTACAGACAAAAGCCAGATGTTGGTGGGTTTTCTAACCTGTGAGAGGTGAGGACCACAGCACATTTTCCTTTCACTTCCTCTGAGATGATTTTCCACAGGTGACGCTTGGTGCGAGGGTCCATGCCAGAGCTTGGCTCGTCCTGCGGAGATAGGACAGACGAGAGGAGGGTAGAAGGGTGTGCAGAAAAGAAAAGGGGGAGATAGAAATAAAGAGAGACAGATCAAGGGGTGAGGAGATGTGAATAGAGGAAGAGAGCGTGGTGCAAACAGTGTGCAGGGAGAGAAGGAAAAACCAAGGAAAGGATAAATATGAAAGAGTAAGAAATGTGTAATTGCAAAATCGGACAGGAGATGGGAGGCCGTTACAGATAAATCCAAATGGTGGAGGATAAAGGAAGAAATAAAAATGAAGAGAAAATATTATTAAGAAGAATATCAAGAGAAGGAAATAAAAAGAAGGGACAGAAGGGGGACAGGTAAGAGAAAAAAATGATTGAATAGACATAGAACGTAAAAATGAAGTAGAGTATTGGAAGACTAGGCTTGGGTAAGCCTGAGCAAGCCGACTCATTAACTATCACTATATCATTAACTATATGTCAGTTCTAGTCTGTTATGTCAACGATCCTTTCAGGAGGAGCAGTTTTGTGCAGTTAGTTTACTATGTGTTGTCTCGTGGCCAGTTAGGCGACTAAATGAGCAGCTACAGCAGCGGGAACAGACGTGTCCTCACCAGGAGCAGGATCTGCGGGTGTCCGATGAGAGCCAGCGCCGTCGAGAGCTTCCTGCGGGTGCCGCAGCTGTAACCCTCAGTGATGATGTTCCTGTGGTAGCTGAGCTCCAGCCTCTTCAGCAGGTAGTTCACCACCTTCAAGAAAAACATTAAGAATGTGATTATCCAGAGAATAAACAAAATGAAATAGAAAAAACACAATAAGCAAAGCACAGCTTCTAATCCATTAATCATAACAGAAATGTTGGCAATACAGAGTCATGTTTGAGATAGATTTGATAGATAAAAGCCATCCGGATTTAACTTTTAATGTTAGACTATATAATGTTTCCTGAAGCCACAACTAGCAAAAACAGGATAATGGTGAATACTAAAACAGTATAAGAGATGCACGAGTAGAGGAGTTTCAGAAGTAACACTACAGTAAAAAGACAGTAACTTGGAAATGTGTTTTCAAAGCAACACCATCATCAAACAGTTTATTCATCATAGCCTGAGCAGCCTTCTTAAAACACTTTGTTAGATCCTATAAACACAACAAAAGCCTTCTCTTTAGCTTCCACATAAATCTCCTATTTTACACACATATGCAAGGATAATACACAAAGACAGATAATCTGGTGTAAGCAGCTTTGTCAATAACAATAATAATACATTTAAAGAAACACTGAGTAACTTTCACCGAGCTGCAGCGCCCTCTGCAGCCACACGTGGTGATTAATTCTGTTGGGCTTGTCAGGGTGATTAAGTGGTTTTCATTGAAAGGAAAAACAAAGCCTATCAATCGTTGACTGTATAGTTCCTCTCACTGAACTGAAACACAACTGAACAAGTGGATATTACCCATGATTCCCTGCTTTCTGAACCAGAAGTGCTGCTGCTGTAACAAATATACCACACTCTGTTTGAAGTTCTCCAAAACACCACAACGTTTTGTGCTACAAAAAGATAATCAGTGTAGATGTGCAATAGATTTACTGTCATCTACAGCTTGTCAATAGGTTTAATGATTGCTCTGCATGGCTGATTGTTACTCCCTGTAGTTTCATGAGCACGAGGATGATGTCAAGTATTCATTTGTGACTCCAGCAGCTCTGAACAACACCGGATTGTCACAGGAAGTTGATTATCCATTCCTTTAATCCATCAACTGGGGGTCCTCTCTCTGGAGAACAAGGCCAATATCCCACTACACACACACGCGCACAATTGAGACACTGATCACAGCAGGAAAAGCTGGATTTACAGAAATCTTTATTTTTTGAGGGTTCCCTCCCCACTCCTTAGTGGCTACCTGATTTCCATGTTAATTTCTGTTGTTGCCTTTTAAGATTCTCTCCAATACAGCGGCACAGAAAATAACTGAAGTATCTATCTGTCTTACTCTGATGCATTTTTAATGTTGTTTGTCCAACAATGACGACTTTATCTAAACTCTATTCTGTCCCAAGGCTGCAAACTTCAGGGAACAGAGACTGACACGGCGTAATGTGGTGCCAATCAGTTTATCCTGTGTGTTAGACCACATTTCAAAGTGAGACAAAAGAAAAAACCTTCAATAGCTCACAACCATTTCAGTCACTTAAAAATCTTTATGCTCGCCTATTAATCACATGAAATACTGGGCTGCAAATACCAGCTCATTTTCCAATAGCTTGAGGTGATTTCCCATCGGTGAGCTTTAGCCGATTTCCCCATCAGATGGCAAGTTTGGAAATCGGATCAATGTAGCAAGCCAATGCAATGGATAGCTTAGTTCACTTTGATTCTTTGCTTTCTCACTCCTGTAGGATTTGCCTATAGTGTAGATTTTTTTTGTATGATTCTGAGTTCCTCAATCCTGGTTATTTGGGCACTAAGTAGGATTTTAGATGCTGTACACAAATACACAGCAGCAGCAGCTACATTTGGACGATAAGCACTGGAAGCATAGCATAGTCCCGACTGGTTTGGATCAAAATGTTCTCTCATAAAACCCCCTTTCTATCACCTTTGATGTAACAGCTCATTAAGCCCGACAAAACCATGTCAATACAAAATGACCCCATTAAGGCTTGTTTCATTATCCACAGCTAGGGGACTGTCAGTGGGAGACAACATAAGAGGAGCTCTATATATAACCTCATCTTTGTGAATTAGCTCAACACCGATACTGTGACCATTATAACCATTGTTGGCATTTCCCTGACCAGAGGAGGAGGAGCTGTAACAATAGCAATGACAATGATTAGAACCAGCAGGAACCGTTTCTGTGCCTCGCTCTGCTCGTGTAAGTATGTGTGTACATGTGCGCATATTTGCAAATGTGTGCGTGCACTTCTGTTTCTGACTTGACCGTGGCTGTCCGAGACAATCAATATTTTTTGTGCTTCTGCACTTATGCAGAGATAAAAAAACACAATAGTCAAAAGCCTCCCCTGTGTACGATTTAGATTTGATGTGTTTTCTGCACATTCCCATCGACCTCAGAGCTGTTTCTTTCCTTCTCTTTCTTTTGTGTAAAAATATCAAGATGGAGAATCAGAAATCACAACATCTCTTCAATGGTTGCAGTGCAGATTCCCTTCATGTCAGCAGCAGCAGCAGCAGCAGTGACAGGCAGGCACGTTTGGTAATCACCACAGAAACAAGATTGATTAGTTCTCAGAGAGATAAATGGGAAGAATTAGCATACAGTGACATGTCAAATGAGATGCTCTCATCATCAAAGTATCGTTTAAATGTAAATTTGTCTGCACTGAAGCGTACAGCATTGGCTTAATTCTTAAGGTTGGATTGCTCGAGCTGACAACAACAGCTTCTCCATTTTGCCCCTGATAGTGCAGATTTCAGCAGACATCACTCAACACTTCACACCCTCTGATTCAGCACGCATGGAAGTATCAGCAGTTGGGAATGCATGTTTTTTGTATTTATATCTGATAATGTGTCATTTTGCACATGTTGTTGTCACTACCTGAAGCTTTGAATGGCAGCACAGAATCTGCAGCATCTCCTTACCCTTTCTCGGTCCCTCTTCGGGATGCCTCTGATGCAAGCATAGAAGTACAAGTGCTCTTCTCCTGTGAGCAGATTGTCCAGAGCGTCCTCCTGGGGACAGTAGCCGATGTTGATTCCCTTGCTACGGCAATCCATGATGTCGACCAACCGCCTGGGGGAAAAAAAACAAACAAGGATTAAGACAGACTCTCTTGTGGCATCCACCACTGGGACCTGTTGTCTCTAGCGGGCCAATGTTTGGAATGCCCACCATGTGGCCTGACAGCACAGCAGGAATGGGGAGTAAGGCTCTTTATACTTTTGCTGCATCTCGGTAAATCCCAAACCACCATGTTCAAATACGGTCTAATGCAAAGCAATAACACCTCTCATTTGTGGATATTGGTGTTACACAAATTGAATCTCGCCCTAATTCATTAGGCAGCACAGCCTGGGCACCTGTAAAAATTAAATCTAAACCATGGGTTTGTCTCTGTCTCCTCCTCCATAGTGATTCTCACAGTTCATCTTTATTTCGCAGGAATATGCCTCAAGCGTCTGTGTTGTTCAGACGGTACATCTATGCATACTATATGTAATAAACACCTTCATGTTTTCCACTGTGCACATGGTCTAATGTAACTAACCAGTGCAGTTTCAGTCTTTGTGCATTTTGTTTCAGGCCACTGTGACCTTTGACCTTTGACCACCGAAATCTAATCAGGTCATCCTGATCAAATTGTCAAAATGTAAAGTAATTCCCTAAAAGTGAACTTGAAATATTGTGTTCCCAATTCAGTCACATTTGCGTGTCATATGACCTAATAAATGAATGTGCATCTTACCCATCCCAGTCCCTGATCTGTGCTGTGCCATCAGTGGGGCTAACATCTCCAGTCAGCATCTTGAAGGTGGTGGTTTTTCCTGCTCCGTTCACTCCCAGCAGACCAAAGCACTGTAAACAATCAGTCACTTCTTAGTAACCATGAAGCATTCGACCTCTATAAAGAACTATGATACAGAGATTAGATAGATGTTCATGTCATTATTAAACTGGATTTATGGATAAATGGATAGATGAAGGATTTATGGATTATTACAGTCATGCTGTTGTTACAAGAGCCTGATAAGTCATTCATTATACAATGGCCCCTTTTGTTATCCAACTGCCTTGTTTATAATCCTGCTCCTCAGGCTCACCTCTCCTGCAGGGATTCCCACAGAGAGCCTCTTGACAGCAGGGACCTTCCTCTTTAAGTGTTGATAGATCTTGGTGAGCTGGTTGACCTGCAGTATGTCCATGTTGGCTGCTCCACTGGAGACCCGTAGGTGCTCTGCTGCCACGTCCTCATCCTCATCCTCACCAGCCACCCGTGGCAAAGTCTTTCTGCCACAAATCAAATGCCTGCAAAAGAGGGAAAAGTAAGAGGTGTTTAAGTTAATAGGAGTAACTGGCGCAGAAAACGCCGCATTACATACTGGTAGCAGTTCAGGCTACACAAAGAAAGAAGATATTTATCTTTTATAATTTTGAACTTAGAGCAATTTAACTTTTTTTTTAATTACTTAAAGTGGTTCTGATGCATATTTAATTCTTCATTTGCATATTGTCAGTATTTATATGTCACATTTATATTCTAGGCTGCAAGAGAGTCCACATTCTGTTCCATTCTGCACATGCACTATACTGTCCAAGCACAAGCAGGGTATATCCGAGTGCAAGCATCAGGTTTTGAGTAAGAGCATTAAAAAATCTGAATGTAAACATTGTAAGGTCCTGCCCTCAAACTGAAGAATGAAGATTTGTACGCAGGAGTTTGTGATAATTTTCTGGCCTCAGCCGTCTTCAGCCGGCATCAGTTTTTCTTACCTGACTTTTCGCAGAAGGAACTTGTTGAGCAGGAGACGCAGCGTGAAGAAGACCACGCCTTGGATGAAGGAGGAGAGGAACATCCAGCCCAGGGCGTCTGTGGAGAATGGGTTCTGATAGGCATCAACGCCATAGCCACTGAGGATCTGGACCTCTATGTTTTTCCTCGCCAGGTGCAGCAGCCCATTCCCAAAGTTAAACTGGGGGAAGATGAGGAAGGCGTAGCTCAGCCTTTCGAAGATAATGTTGATGAGCTGCAGGGGGAGAGGTCAGAAGAGGCAGCGTTGAGTATTGTAATCCTTTTTCATGAGGGACATTTGTCCTTTCCAATGCATCTCAATATAACTACAGCTACAAGGTTGAATTCAACAGTTAATGAACAGTCACATATTTAACTTCAGGGCTATTTAGTTCCTAACAAAGTGTATCTTGACTCAGGCAGTAGATGCTGACCTCACTGTTGCCCACTGAAATTTGGCCAAGGAAGTAGAGAATAGAGGTGGACATGATGGTGTTGACACTGATGAAGAGGTTGATGCACACGTAGGTGATGAAAGCCATCTCTGCATCCTTGAAGACGCCTGACAACAGATACATCCAGGGGAAGGTGGAAAACCTGAGGAATTTGAAACGTAACACCGAGTAAAAATGCAGCCACACATGCACCTTAAAAACATAGAGACGGACAGTTTATAAAATACTATATCTAAAATCACAGGACTCTGCATGTTCAAGTGAAGTGGTTCAGGATAAACTCAGAAGCTGTGAGGTGAAAATAGGAATCAAAGAATAGCAGAGGGAAAAGGACACCACACCATGACAAGGGTAAACATTCAGTCATGGCGCCAAAGAAGAGGAAGATAAATTACATCTCCCGTTATTCCCCTGCTAGCAGAACATCATTTTCCCTCTGGTTTTTTCTGTTCTCTCTTTTCTTCTCTGTTCATTTGATTGGGGTGTGTGGGTCAGCCAGACAGAGGAGGGAAGCAAAAAAAAAAAGAGATGAAAAACTAAAAGAAGTGGGGTTGTGAAAAAGAAAGAGACAAGACACAAACAGATAGAGCCAGACACAGACAAAGCTTCTGTGTAGAAACCACCACCACCCAAGAAAAGGTGCATGGTAGGCAGACTGAGGGTGCCAAGACAGGGAATAGAAGCAAGAGAGGCTACACACCAGACCAGGTGGGTGCAGCCTGACAGATGGAGCGCTGTGATTACTCATTGCTTGGGAGGGAGACATCTGTCTGATAAATGAGGAGCAGAGTGCTGACTTGGAGCCCTAAGATTTCCGGGCTCAAGACGAAGACCGCGACAGCAACGACAAGGAGGAGTCTTAACCTCTGCTGCAGCTGGGAAATGATGTAAACCCCCCCCGTGATCCAGATGCTGGAATCATTGCACATCATCGGTTTGACACCTTCCCAGGATCTACATCTCACGGTTCAATTGATTTGAAATCCTTGTGGTTAATTAGTCTCTATTTCGCACTGAGTCTTACAATTATTGCTACAAGTCCTGATGCTTCCTGATCCCCCCTCCCTCTCTCTCTAGTGTCTTTGGCTTGAATTGGATAAACACGTTGGCAGTGATTTTTCTAGCAATCTTTCAGTCCTACCACCATCTGTCTTTGCAGGAAAAACAGCAGCGTCGTCATGGCCCCCCTGCTGAAGACCCAACCTGGCGGTGCACAAAGTAGCACTTGCAGTAGAGGCCAGACAGTAGAAGTGCGAGGACGTGATTTTGCAAGGACGTGATTTTGAAAATTACTAAAAACCTTTGTTCAAATTAGTTTGATCAAGTAACACATGATCAGTTCGACCGAGGTCAGATGATCAAAGCATCAGAACATTGGCATTCAAATAGCATGGATGCTGTGTGTGTATAATGAGGGGATGTATAATGAGGATGGGTGTCTTGCAGCAGAATAAATCACTTGTCAATGAGTTTGATTGAATTTGAGTAGTAGAGATGCATCTGGACAGTTTACATTCATCAGCAAGGATAAAGTCAGCCAAACATATGTGAAAGTTTTCCACATATGCATCCCTCACGTCACTGGTTCAGATTGTTCTTTTCTAAATAGCTGTTCACATCTTGTGGTGACCTCAGTTCTTAAAAGAAGACTACACTTGATTATAACCTTTTGGCCACATTCAGACCTGGCATTAATATCCGTCCAAAGAGATCTGATCACAAGTGGACTGAGCTCGTCTGCTCACACCTGACATTAAAATGCGTGAAAGCGAGAGATAGAGAGAAAGATAGCTGTGGGTAGACCTACCACGAGGAAAGATTTGACCCATTAGGGAAAAAAATGGAAATCATTATGTGGTGTTCAGTGTTGATATCACAACACAAATCACTGTATGGACAATGTGAACCGCAAGTTTTCTTTCATTATGAAACTGCAGCTGAGTAAGTCGTCCTTTATGTGTGGCCCAGGACACATTTGCGTTCACACAGTGAAAAGAATGTAACCACATGCGTCCCAGACCACCTCCTACACTCAAAATAATAATAATAATAACAAAAACTGGCTTTATTTTGTGTAATGTATGTAATATCAATTACATATTCAATTTCCATGTAATGTCATAAAATCAGTTCAATGTGAAGGGTCACATTTAATGAAGTGTTTTCTATCACTTTGAAATATATACATTAAAAACTTAAGTTATTTTATTTAGTCACACCAATGCTACATGATAGAAAACACTGTATTAAATGTGACCCTTAAAATTTAACCTGTGCAATAAAGTTAAATTGAAATTTAATGTATTTGTATGTTAATGCTGCATGGATGTTAAGACCAGGTCTGAACTGGGTCTTCAAACCTTGCACCAAACATCGAGAATCAAACCTTCAGATTCTTCCCATGATCTTATTAAGAAGAGAAAATGAAGGTAAATAGTTAAATAAATATACACACTGCCTGTTGTAAACAGCCAACACAGTTTACAGAGCAATTTCATAGTTCGGCACTGCACGTAGTTGTATTGTAGGGAATATTCCAAGCATAGAGTGAAAGCAAACCTGACCAAACTGCTTGTTTTCAACCTGCATGATTGTGCCACTGCTGAGTTTTGTTCTGAGTTATCTGAGTTGCCACGTTGTTATAAAAGTTTAACGTGCAGTTTTCCTTTGAAATTATTATTATTATTATTATTATTATAATATTATTATATTTTACAATATTTTACGGCCCGAATGCCATGAAGCAGCAGAGGCCAAAAGACAAGTCAAAATAGATTGACAATCGTTCCTCAGTAGGTTACAGTAAATCAACATCCTCTCTATTTACTGACCCAAAGAGCACCAGAAGGAGGGCGACGGCACCCAGATTCTGCCGATCTGTGAACGCTGGGACCTGGAAGGCTGCAACCACACAGATTGTCAAAGTCACGGGGATCAGATAGATGACCTGTCAAAAAAAAAGAGAGACATGATGTAACAGCAGAAAGGCGTGTCATCATATCATTTGATTGACTAAATCTATTAAAAAGATAAGAGGTGTTTGTCTGCATTTTGGCGATTGGTAAATCTTACCATGTCGTAGAGGAAGTTCACAGCCCAGTAGAAGGGCTCGCTGATGCCGGCAATGTGCTGGAGCCTCTTGGAGCCGCTGTGGTGCTCATGGACTTCATAGATGGCAAAACTGGCTGTCGTGATTGAGTAACCCGTCAGCACGCACACAGCCACAAGGATCTGGAGCATCCCCTGAATACTGAGGAGCAAAGTAGAATCATTCGAACACAAATCAATTATCGGGCTTGTAATTAGTGTATCTTTCATCTGCATTGCCTTCATTCAAGTTAGTTGTAATGTTTCTTACTATAGGAAAGGCTACAGCTGCTACATCCAAGGATAAGTGTGCGAATCAATATACTCGGCTGTGCTGATTCACTGTGAATGAGGCAACCTGCAGTAATTCTTCCCAGAGAACAATGGCCCATTTCAAAGTCCTCCTACAAACCATCATATTATCGCCTGCTGGGACCTGACTCATTTGAACTATTGAAGTGGCTCACAATAAACTGAATCCCATTAATAACAAACAGCTGCATTAAAAGAGACGCTTGTGCCTCACCTCTGACAAGATAATAGCTACGAAACAAACAGATGGCTTCAAGTCAGGGAACGACTTCGCCGAAGCCTCTGCTGCTGTATCGTCAGTATGCACAGTGGCACCGCTGCAAGGCACAATAATCCTTCTGATTCCTGTTTAGGTGTTTGGATAAAGTCTGATCTCCAGATGAGACCCAAGACAACAAGCTGAGGCTTTGATCCTTCAGTAACTCTTAAACCTGTTGGGCTCATTCAAACTGTCTTAGAGCCACACCGGGTCGTTTTTATACCTAAAAATAACAGCTTCAAAATAATTTTGATGGTACAAACTTATAATAGGGAGAATGTCTGTCATTGCCACAGCGCTTCCTGGATGCCTGGAGCTACACTATGTAACACTGCTGTGTCGTGCTGGAACATTACAGCACACACCAGGAACCAGAGTTCAAGAGTTCTATCTATGAGACAACTAGCTTGCCATTCTCAGTGTAGAATCACGGCAGAGCAACCACAGAGGACAAGTCTAAAAAAAATTAGGAAGCAACTTAACAGGAGCGAATATCGAAGCATATTTTACTGGAGCTACAAGAGGCCAAAGGATGCAGGACCGATGCAGACCTGGAGTTGTTGTTATTGGACAAGTAAGTCATCACTTCTGCTTGTTGGCTATGTCTTGTGCTGTTCTGCTTGTTTAACATTGTGTAAGTGACATTGTCGACATGCTTGTTTATCATCAGAAGCCACGTAGACCTGTTTTCGATAGAGGTTTAGCAAGTTAGCCAAACAAGTTGAGTTGAGTGCAGTGAATTTGCAAACGTTAGTCAGTCAGTGGTTGTGGTTGTGGGGCTTCTCAGGCTGTCGGTTTCTTCTCTGTGAGCTTGACAACAAATGCACGTGTGCACAGCTGTATGCATGGGGAGACTCGGACCGTGACTCGTATTTACTACAGTGAATTTCACATCCCACCTGCAGGGGGAGCTCAAGTATTGCAGAGAGCAAATCTCGTTTTGTGTCGCCTCAATGGGGCTACCTGTTCATCTCTCATCCTCTCTTTCCTACCCAGCATGCTGTTGTGGTACCTCTACCTCCGTCCAACAGAAAAAACAGCTGCAAGAGGCTGAAGATGATGCAGAGCAGAGTGAACGAATGGGACAGGGAGAGAATAGCATACAGGAAGGTGTGGTGGGCATTTTAGGGCAGCACTAACTACAGAGGATACCCAGCAGCTACTGAGCAGGCTTGTTATCGGTATGGCCGAGCCAGCCTTGGAATTTTTTCCCATGGGGCACAGCTACCACACTGTGACAATCAAGACATTTGGAGTAATAAGCCTGCTGTATCTTTAACACAGCTCCGGACAAATCAATACATCTGGCGAGGAAGCAGAATCACCCAGGACGGAGGGGTAATTGTGCACTTGCAGCCGCTGTAGCACTGAGTGGGCTAAAAAAAAAATGCTATGCAGAGAAATAAATGTGGACTATGTGGAAGAAGTGGAAGCCAGTAAACACTGAAATGGACAGTGAGATTGTTAGTGCTAATAAGGCTCTGGAGAGGCAGGACCTTCTCTTTTTGGAGTGATTCATTTAATTTGATCCACTGGAACACACGCTTGCAAACATGCATACGAGTGAACACGGAGCTGCGTGCTTCCTGCAGACTGGATCTCAACAGTGGAGTGTTTTAAATAAGCCCATTTTGGAAGGGGGTTAGAATCAATTCACCTCTGTGCCACCTTCAGGGTAAACACTCATTATATCGGGGCTCTGATCAATAGTGCATGCTCAGGGAAATCCATTTGGAAAATCAAATGTGAGTAAATACTGCTGTCATGTGCCTCCCTGACCTGACTCCACCCTGACATTAATGTCCTGTATTGAAATAATAATCTCTGTCAGACGCTGTCAAAAAAACAGCCAGTAATTGATTTTTTTACTAATTGTGGAATATTTTCACCAAGTTGAATGCTTCTTTTGCAAGAGCAGTGATTGATAAAGTCGCAGAAAGACAAATTTTAAGTGTGGTCCTTACATTGCATCTTCATCATCCGGCCGACCGAAATACGGGTGACTGGAAACTGAAATGGCTGCAATAGAACAAAAGGAAAACAGAACATTATGATAGTCATAGAAAAAAAACAGCATACAGGCTATTTTTCAGCACATGAACCAAATGAGCAAAGATATTCTCTTAGCCTCTATGGGACACAGTCGGTTGAAAAATATAGTGCGAGATGATTTCATTTGCCAGTGCACACAGAGGAAATTGAATTTTCTTTATCATTTTTTTCAGGGACTTCTAGATGCTTACAGACGTGAACTGCTCCCCCTACATGTCTCCGCTCACATTTCCTGATAAAGGGAGAGTGTGAGTTCACCAAGAGTACAGCAGCCCCAGAGAAAGGCTGCAGGTTCAGTGCTTCGCTGAAAGACACTTTGACGGAGCTGATGAGATCTGTCGACTAATCAGAATGGATGGATGGATAATCTGCTTTGTATCTGTGAGAATCAGCCACTGCTACAACTAACAAGTATATTCACTATCTTCTGGCTTCTTGATGAATCAATAAAAAATTTAAAGTCTGAAACATTTAAAAGAAAAACCATAAAAATTTCTCAGAGGCCTGAAGGATGTAAGGTCTAAATAGATAATCTTGTCTCGTCTGCAGTAAAAAAAAACTGAAAAAGAGTTATTATTTATGCGATCATAGATTGCAAAAGGAAAACCACAAAATGAAATGAACGATTAATTGATTGTGAAAACAGACTTTTTTTCCTGGTGATTGAAAAATTGATTAATGGGTCATAAAATGTTTGCTCTCAAAGCCTCAAGCTGAAGCTGCTTTCCTTTACTTTTAAAAGCATAAAGTCACAGATTCATTTTATTCACATTTTATTAAGGTGGTTTATTAACCAGCTGAGTAACTGTTGTTTTCCCTTAGGTATGAGGCAGACAGACTTTGTATTCTACAAGCGCTCCATGAAAAAAAATTTCAATGGCGACCTCTGAAGGGTCTCAGCCCAGCACGGATACTACAGATGGGTTAAGGGCTTCACATCTGACAGAGAAATGATCACCTTGAAAAGTAATCTCCCTGAATCTCCACCCCTGACACCCACCGACACAACTGGGAGTTTGCAGGTAACATTTAAATGATTACACTCTACCCTCGAGCACTTTTAACATCTATGGGGGGAAGAAATGTGTCTGTGCATGTAGCCCTGTGCAGCCACTGTGTGTTTTTTATGAGCATTTCATTATGTGTGTGTCTGTGTGTGTGGGTGTGTGTTCGTGTTTGTGTACGACTGCCTGCAGGCAGATGGTCGGGGCGATGCTCGGAGCTGAAACAGTGCTGAAAACGTGGGCCAACCTCGATCTCTTTAGCATAGCTCCCCAGTGAACAGCGTTCATCAGTATTCGCCATGTATAGTGATGCAAGTCGGAGGATACACAGCACCCCCTGGCTTTAATCCAGTGAAACGAACCGTGAGTAAACACATTGCTTTTATGTTGCTTAGTATCGAAGGTAAATGCATGGGGTGTAACACTAATGTGCATCATGTTTTTTTTTTTAAACCTTTTACTCAGCTGATCTTCAGCAATTACCAGGGGGTGTCTGCATGAATACAACACAATCCCAATAAAAAAAAACTTAAACAAGAGAAAACAGCAACAAATGCATATTGCAATGTCAAAAATTGCATAGAATTGATCTTTACTCTCATTGCCTCATAAAGTCTGCTTAATCAATTAAACTCAAATCTAACACTGGGCCCTTTCCCTGTGAGTGAAGTAGTGAGTTTATACTTGTAACACTGTTTCCCCGGCTGCCGGCTCACCGTATTCACGTGGATCCTTGTCTGCTGGAAGATTGGAGCGAAGGATGAGGTTGTTGAGGCTGTTTAAGTATGCTGGCATTGTGTGGTGGCCCTCAGGGTTGAACCAGACCTACACAAACACACACACACACACACATAAGCATCCCTCACATTGCTGCATATCTGGCCGAGCAGGTCGATCACATCTCCACAAAATGCAGATGTCATCATCTGAGGATACGTACACAGTAAAACAGTGGCACGGTTGCTGCAGTAAAACATATTTATGATGACAATGATGGTGCAACAATAGAGCTCCGCCTCGTGTCATGTTTTAGTATTCAACAGCTCATCAGTGCTGCAATTAAAGTTGTAGTGAGACAGGAGAGAGAGTTTCACCTTAGACAGAGTGCGATTTTTGGGCACCGCTCGAAGGTCCATTTGTAAGTCAGTAGGAAGCCGCATCCCAAAATCGAACCCACCATACCTGAGAGTAAAAAGCAAATTGGACATATCGATCAAAACAAAGAGTGAAGAGTGTTGCTGAGAAATTAGATGTGACACCCTGTGTTTTTTGCTTGTTTGTTTTTCTTTGATTCACAGACAATGTGTTCCTGCAAGCAAGAAGCACTTTGGGTTAAATCCCACACATTGAAAGTGCGAGTAACACGATCAATACAACTTATCGAAGATACCTTAGTTGTTCTTATCATGCTAAGCGAAAATCTGAAAATCTCAGGTTTCAGGTTTCAAATTACATTCTTTGCAATCAACAGCCAAGAGATTTCAACATATTCAACAGCAGTGCTTTCTTACAAGTGCACGGAACAACATCCTCATCCACACACATAAAACTCCCATTTATTTGCCGGTCATGTTTCGTTTCAAGCATGAACAAAGATTGTGATGTATCAGCAATACAATAAATATACATATCATAGTAGACATCATAGTTAATATAAATAGAACACAATACAAAATTTGAACTTGTATAAAATTAATGTCACGCCAATGGTTGGTGTTCACAGGTTCAGCCTCAATAGCCATCATAAATAATAACTATATAACTATTATATGTCATTCACCTGTTCCTGATGAAGTCATTGGCTGTGGCCACCAGGTAGTTCTCCACGTTGATGCCACTGAGGTTATAAACAACCTGAGATGAAGCGATGCTCCTATGTGGCGGCTGATAGTTGTCCTCATCACAAACCTGCAGGGTGCGGAAAAGACAAAAGCATCACACACAAAAAATCATGAGCAGAACAACACTCACATACACACACACACGCACACACACACACACACACACAGTTCTCGATGACCTAGTCTCACCTGTTCCTGTCTGGTGCATTTACAGATACTAAATCCTTTAGAGCTGTTCCCTCTGGAACTCCACTGGTATGTGTTTCGGCCGCAGACCCTTCAAAAAGAAACATGCACAAAGTGAACTGGCAGCAGTTTGTGATAATGCCACAGGCCTTGTCCCCAGACACACACGACAACATATCGTGAAACCGAGTTGATAACAGCCTGAACCTGTGTACTCATCACAGTACAAAGAAAGGAAAGAGCATGATATGTAAGTGCTCATATGTGCAAAAGTATTATCATAAAAAAAAATCTAACATCCATCTTTTTCAATAATTGTTGCAATTTTAAAAACTATTTCTTTTAGGTTTAAAGACTGACAGTTAATTGTGGTTTGGAAAAACAATAACATGTGTTTTACCTCCTCTCTGTGGATTAGCATTATACCAATATGTAATGAACTTTGTTATGTTGCTGCTATTGTAACATATTCCACTAAATATTATTATTTCATTGCCCAGCCCACACATAGAGCAAACTTGCATGGTGTTTGTGAGATCAGGGTGTAAATACTTCTCTGATTTTGGTTCAAAACTATTTTCAAAGCAGTTTAAAACGAGCTGTAATATCATATTGTGTGAAATTTGCGCTTGTGTGGTTTGATGCTCAACTCCCCCGCACAGTTTGTTTTCTGCCAAATGTTTTCAGGGACACTTGGCGCAGATCAAAAAAACAAAAACACTTGTAGCAATACACATCTTTGACACTTAAATGCACCCTGTTAGTTACATGAACTACACAACACTGTATCACACACTGTGATTACAGGTCATCATGAGAAAGACATGCAGGTTCTTTTGCACCCACTATTTTTCTTTTGGCAGAGAATTTTAAAATGCCTCTGAGGTTTGGTTTGAGTGCTAGCATTCATTTGAGTGCCTGTAAGGGGGGAAATCTGCCCCGTAAACACTGGGTGTTTATGGAATACAAATGATGCTCTCATGTCGTCCTGCTGCAGCCCCTCAGCCACATACGTGCCCTGAGCTGAGCGGCTGAAAACAAATAAAGAGGAGCAACATGTGAGAGTTAGAGAGAGAGAGGGCAGTGGGAATCTGAGGGAGACAGACTAGTAAAATGAAACAGGGTGAAAGAGGCGGCACGAAGAGAATGACAATGAGTGAAATGTGAAAACACTGCATGTGGGGCTAAGGGTGGACAGAGAAACTGAGCACAGGTTCACAGGGTATTTCTGAAAAATCTATCACTTTCAGGGTGAACAATAACGGCTGGCATTTGCAAAGTGATTACGTACGGGTTATTAGGCCTGTCAAGGCAGGCGTTATCGATCCCAGGGTATGACATCATGGAGTCCACCAGGTTCCCGGAGCTGGGATTTTGGTTCCTGTGGAGCCAGAAAACAACAAGTCAGCCTTGACTTAAACATACATAAAAAAGAGACATTTGAAAATAATGAAGAAGATAAATTGTTTCACGAGGCTCTAACTCAGCATGAGGAGAGAGCAGAGATGAAAAACACACATTCTTTCCTCAAGTATAAGCACAGATACTTACTGAACTATTAGTAAAAGTACTGATTCAACCTCTTTACTCACATTAAAGTATGAAACGTAAATATAAAAGTAAAATTCCCCTCTAAATTCTATTTCTACTGGCTTTATAGGTGCAAAGAAAACTGAGAGTCACATCAATATAGTTCAAAGACTATTCAACCTAAACCTTTCTCATTTCAAATGAAAAAAACAAACTTAAAACAGGCGTTAAAGCGAGAAAAGATTTGTGAGTATGTAAAATTGTCAAGAGAGAAATGTGTATATATATGTGTAAATATGAACAGGTTTGGGGAATGTTGTGTTGCTCTGCTTTGTCATGGACGTTGTCAACATTATCAGTTCATGTTGGCTGATTCTTCACTTATTTCACGTCCTTGTCACAGACAGGTGCGCTGTACCTCCTCTCCATGGTTATCTCCCTCTCGTCTGATTTATCCTGATATGTCCTTTACATCACCTTACATTTGATGTGCAAGAGGAGATATACGACAAGGAATCATCTTTTCTGACTTTATGTCCCATCTATTTAGGTTAAATTCTTTGATGTTGTGAAGGCCGCGTTCAATGATGCAAAATAAAAAAAAAACGAGTAAGGCAAGTCCCCTAAAATACATTAAAAGAAAAGGAGAAAGTCTATTTTGGAAATGTCAAGAGCAGACAAGAAAGTCGCCAGAAACATAAATACCCAAGTAAAGTACAGATACCTATAATAACAATGATAATAACAATAATAACTTTACTTGTAAATCACTTATCTAAACAAGGTTACAAGATACATGGCCATAAAAACAAATGAATTCAAAAAAAAAAAGCAGATATAATCAATTGGAATCAGTTTTAAACACCAAATCATAACTATCTAATCTAATCCATAAATTCTATACAATCTTATAAATATTTTTTGATTATTGATTTATTCAAATTACTCTTGGTAGCTATGGTTTTATAAAGAATTAGAGTTGAAACTTTAAATTCATCAGGGTTTTTCTCTGCAGAGTTGTGGCTTTAGAGCAATTACGAGCTCACAACATTGTCAATAAACTGTCCGTGGGGAGGTCATCAGTGATTCCTTTATAACACCCTCGTTGCGCAGAGCAGGAAACACAAAAGAAGAGTAAAGACTTTTTTTTCTTTATTTGCAGATTTACATTTAAGTGGATTTCTTTTATTTGGGCTCTCCCCAGATATAGAGTCATAAATAAAGACACAGATCATTATGTTTTCATTGTTCACGCAGGCGAATGAGAGAACAAAGCTTTTCGAGGCAGTGCATGAAATCTGTTGGTCCACTATCACAACACTGCAGCAATAATAAAAAAAGACTGAGAAATTTAACACCCTCGACTACTTATAACATTATTCAACAGCAGCATCCCCTCCACTGCAGCACTGATTTCATAAAAAAATTAAGAAATATTTTCAATCTCTTTCCTGTATCAGGTTAAAAAGAAGTGGGTCAAGTCTCGATTCTGTCTTTGATATATGGATTGGCACCTCAGGATTTTCTCCCCCATAATATATTCTCTTGATCAAACAACAGACCTTCTCCCGAATGAAGAAGACGTCTCGCAACCTCCTCCTTCATCTCCCTGAGTTTGATCTTGCATCTCAGCCATCTTCTTTTCAATCACTCCTCTCTAACTTCTCTTTGTCCTTAAGGTCCATCTGCCCTTCAACAAAGTACAGCTTCAAATTCATTTTCTAACAAATGAGACATGTCGCCCCCCCCCTCCCGCCCCGACCAGCACAAATGATGCAGGGACCCAACGGGCCAATCAAGTGATGAGATTCATCAACCCCCTCATCAAAGTTTCATCAAGCTCAGATAGGCGTGTTGAAGCAAGCACCTCCGTGGTCTTAAAAAGGAATCTTTCATTCTATCCATTTTGATCCCTTGCAATTGTTTCTTGTGTTTTGTTAGTCTTGTTTGCGTGCGTGCGTATGTGTATTATCCATCCATCCATTATCCATATCCTTTGAGGGTGGTGGGGGAGCAGGAGCCAATCCCAACTGACATTAGACATGAGGCGGAGTACACCCTGGACAGGTCAGTAGTTTATCTCAGTGCCAGCATACAGAGACGGACAGTTATTCACAACTCTAATATCAATTCAGAGTTTAACCTAACCCCAGCCTACATGTCTTTGGAGCTGGCAGAGAAAACCCAGCAAGACAGGGGGAGAACATGCAAACTCCACACTCACACAAAAAGGCCAAGCTGGGATTGAAACTGGGAACCGTCTGGTTGCACCACGGTTACGACCCTAGCCCCAGAGAAAATTAACCAAGCCCGACAGGTACTCTGTTTTTTTGTGCCTGAAGCTGCACTGAGCTGAATGTTTTCCCTGATAACAGGCAGGTGCAATGTGAAAAACAAAATCAAGTAGACAACCCAGCCAACATGACTGAACCCGACCCAAACCCGAATATCATTTCAACATTGTTTGTGTGAACACTGGGCTCGAGTCGGATATCCACACTGCAACCACTGTGCCGGCTCTTATTCTGTCGCATCATGTGCTTAATTGGTTTTCCACTGCCTGTGAAGTAATTCTGTTATCTCCACACTTAAGGACCATTTACCTCCTCACCTCCAAACAGCCACCACCAGCCTTTGTTCCGTTTAACTTCATTGTTTGGACAACTAGTGCACTCAGTTACTTGCCTGTTCTTAGTCAGATCATTACCAGGCCATCAAAAAACCTGCCCGGCCCAAAACCCTGTCCTGGACCCCCGAATACTGTGTATTCCTCCTGCCATTAGAACTGACCTGAAGAAGGAGTAGCTCGGTCCAATGTTGTAGAGCGCAGGGCTCAGCTCCAGCTCAGGATAGTGCCGGAGGTCGCTCCTTATGGATCCCATGCCCATTGCAAATATTACAAACAGAACAGGGAGCAGGATCTGGGCGATCAGGCCCTTCCAGTCCCTGCGGCTGTGGTGGAACCTCTTGACCAGTATGGCTGATATCTGCAGCCAGGCCAGAGCCATTCCAGAAACAATGGATGAGCCAGTAAGCTCTGAAAAACACAGGAGGGGTAAGATTTTATCCTTTTGATACTGATGCATTTACTGTCTTTCTGTTGTACTGATTTGATGATGCCTGTTGTTTCTCTCTAAGATACAGTGGCATTGCTGATGGCAGTGCAATCCATCCTGATGAACCTGGTCAGCAGTAAAAGGTATGACTTATATGCTTATTTATATTACAACAGTGTTTTTTTCACTCATGTCTCACTATCCAGTTGATTCAACTCATTTATTTTAAGTATTGTCCTTGTTTATATCCACTGGAGTTAACTGGACTTGAGTTTCTGGAGTAAATGAGAGCATAGCGGTGAACATTGAGCTAGCAGTGCAGGAACCATCCAGCATTGGTATTGTAGTGTGTTGGGGTGAGATGGTTTGAGCCTCCCAACATGCTCAATGTTGTAGACATAAATTAAGGTGTGTTCTAACACATGATGATATATAAGACATATTGTGGAACCTTGATTGAAGCTACATGAATGATTAGTTACTCCCAGAATAAATGAGAACTTCAATAAAAAAATCATTTCCAACCAACAAAGTTTAGACAGTCTCATTAAATCAACTTCTCTTCTTGAATTTATGACTTTTATAAAATCCCATACTAATGCAGTATCTTTCTCAATGACACTGGTTGGCATGGATGATATTGAAATCCATGTTCAGGTGATATATCAACTCTACATGTTAGTAGATCTCTATAAAGATTATTTAAAAGGTTTAACACTGGTTTGATCGTTTAGTTTTCCACTTATCCGTGATCGGACAACTATCTCTCCAGCCACCATTGGGAGTGTGTGTTCCTAGTCCAGATGGGATGTGTTGTAACTCCAGCGAGTTCTGGGTCTACCCCTGGGTCTCCTCCCAGTTTGGCTTGCCCGGTAGGAGGCATCCTGAGTAGATTCCCGAACTACCTTAAGTGTCCTGCTATCACTAAGGAGCATATTAAACTCCTCATCCTGTCTCTCATGAGTCCAGCCACCCAGTGGAAACATTTCATTTGGCTACTTGTATTCACTATCTCATCTTATTGTCATTGACTTAAAATAGCAGTTTGTTGAAATACAACATAATGGTGTGAACTAATTATAGTTTTTTCCCTTAATTTGTTTATCTAAGGCAATCAGGTTCCTAAGTTCCACTAAGTAAACAAAGCTTTAGGCATTAAGTTAGACTAATTAACTTCACTTGTCCTTCTTTACTTGGAACAACTTGACAAATTAAGTAAATGTAAATTATATTATTATGTATTTAAACCTAGATTTTTTTAAAGTAATATCAGATTTTGCACTGTAACATTATGATCAATCATATAAGGTCAAGTTTGAAAATATTTTTTTTTTTAAAAGCGAACCAGGGAAAAAGAGTATGTCTCAGCATGCTGGACATTTTCAAAGATGTGTGCAGCTGACACAAAGAAAAGTAGAAAGGGAGGAGGAACTCACTGATCTTGTCACCAAGGCTTTCACCGTTGTCTGAAGGGAAACTGTCCACAGATCCTGTGTCAGAAATGGTCTCTGAGATCGACAGTGGGACGCTGTCACTTTCTGTGTTGTCATGAGTCAACTGGAGGAAGACCTACAGAAATAAAAACGACACATCAAATTATCTGTGTTTGTTAAAGAGCCTATTTAATTTCATCTAATGGTTTATAATATCAAAATGTAACTTTGCAGCTGCACTTGTGTTTTTTTTTCTTTTGACTGCAGTTTTGAATCTGTCTGTATTTGTGTGTGGGTGTGCACGAGTGCACTACCTCCTCTAGGGTGGTGTCAGAGATGCCATAGCCCCCGAGCTGCAGGGTGTCCAGGTTGGAGTCTAGCGCGGTCAGGAGGGAGCGGTATGAGGAGGCGTTGGCTGAGGTGAAGGGGGGCAGCGAGTAGACCAAGTCGCCCCCTTGGGCCTCCTTCAGTCGAGCTTCAGGTACATGGGCTTGGATAAACTCCTTCAGTTCAGCACTGTCGATTGCTTCAGCATCAAGGTTCTGCAGCTGCAGATAGATAAGGAGCCGCACATAGACTCATGCCATTTTATTCTCCCATTTCATGTTTTTGTGTTTAGGTTTAATTTTTGAGTTTGTACGCTCTACTGTTCACCTTTCTCTCCCTGCAAACATCATTTCATCTCATTGTGTTCTGTGCATTAGCATTAAAAATTCACTGTAAGGATTATAAACATTTAGAATTCATTGCATTTAAGCCTTGTACAAAGAAATCATCTGATTTAGCTTTTAAGGACGAGATAGGTTTTGGAAACAGGAGACATATTTAGTTTGATACTGCTTGCGAGGCTGTTCAAATGCTCAAACAATAGATTGTATGTAAAGATGAATGATATGACAGCTTCTCAAAAGTGATGCCAAAATGTCATGATTTCCTCCTGGTGGCTTCAGATTAGGTCATAATCCCTGCCTCCTCCATGTTAGTGGATGGAACAAGGGCCAAACCCCCCCAAAAAAAATCTAAGTACGCAAGAGTTATTTATTTAATTAAATAATAATCTTAGATAGTCCAAATCACATTATTTGTTCAAGTGCTAATTTTTCTACTAAGTTAGGTTGTGACTAGTGATTTGATTCTAAAACAAGGGGTTGAAAGGTCGTGATTGATAGTTGGTGAAACCGTATGTCCTGGCTCCAAATGAGCACGATGGCAGCATTTGTATCTGAAAATTTGGCATCATCCATTTTTATATACAGTCTATGGTTCAAACAACTATACTGTAGATACCTAAAACAGGCATAAGACTCAGAACTTAACAAGATACTGAAGAAAACTTTGGGTTTGATGAAAATATGTGGCCGGTAAAATCAAAAAGAGAGGCATTGCGGGGTCTCAGACAAATCTTGTTGCCAGTCACTGCACACATCTAGAAATGTTTCATTTATTTATTTGTCGAGATGAACAAAGAAGCCATCAAACAGGCAGGGTAAAAAAAAAAACTCTGTTCAATCCCTACATTAGGAAAACAGCTTAACAAAAAGTATTTACAAGTCAGCTCTGCCATTACAACACACTGTGAAATGTTTGTGCTGCCTGTGCATTATCCATATTATGTTATTGTTGATAGAACAACTGGATGAAATGCATCAGATATGCAGTTACTTTGTCTCTTTTAAGGAACATGTTGTGGCCTATCACTCAACATTTTCTTTAGGTAAAACATGGAACCACTTGTCTACTGGAGAAACATTGATTATTTGACCACAAAGAACCTTTAGAAAAAATAGTCAACATAAAAAAATGACATTTCCATAGAGACATTGTGTTGAGGAAAACTAATGTCAACAACTGAGTTTAGACGCTGTAAGATTAGTCTACAGCACTTTAGCCGAACATGCATGACTTTGAGGAGGGAAATACCTTTTTGGTGAGGGTGAGTTTGTAGCCCTGACCCAGCTTGTCTTTCAGGTGGAAGGGGGAGCCGCAGCATTTTAATCCTCCACTCTCCAGGAAGGCGATACGGTCGCTGAGCACTTCAGCCTCGTCCAGGTGGTGGGTGGACATGATGATGGTGCGGTCTGAGAGGACACAGACACAAACACATTATGCATTACGTGTATGTGTATTGTGATATCAATTACTGATCAAAGAATATCACCAAAACTGAAGCTATAGGGAAGTGTGGAAATTAGAGCCAGACTGATTTTGATATTTTGGGGCAGGTGCTTATACTGATGTTGGTGAATTTAATAAATCTGATATCAATACGACAGTTGATATATATTTCTAAAAACAAAAATTCACATTGATTCCTAAATGTTGTTAACAAACCCTCACGACAAAGAAATGTAAGTGAGGCTTGATACTGAAACTGTGTACAACCAAATATTTTAAAATCAATCAACATATTTTTAGTACAAACATAAAAGCACATCTTTTCTGCATTGTCAATTCAGTGAAATAAAAATTTTCATTTCCTTAAACATGAATGCAGATACAGATGTGTCTGTAAAAGGCTCATTTTAGTTGATACTATCAGCCAAACGTCACATCGGTCTGGCTCGAGTGTGAATATCAGTAAACTGTATTACATGAAGACCCAGTGACTCAATGTCAGGGTAGTGCATACATCACATTTATGTTTAATCACAAAAAAGGACTATTTCAGGACTATTTTAAGAATGTATTAGTCTTGTATATATTGGTTTGTATCTTTTGTCGGATTTTAAACTTGTCATATTTTATAAATTGCCACAGCTTCTATTCTATTCCAGGCAACGAGAAGAGTAAAAAACAACACAGAGGCAGCGTTTAGATGTCTTTTGGCAAAACTATTTTGGATCCCCACATTGCACACATCCAAACAAGCAAACTAAAATCCAGACATTACAAAGACCGAGCTACACACAAACTGTGTCACATACACACACACACACATCATCAATGAGTAACCAGCGTGCAAACAGCAAGTGATGCACAAAGTTTTTGAAGTAGATTCCCCTGGCACCAAACTCTCACTAACATCAGAGGCAGGGCCAATTAAACAGGACATTTCCTACATCTACAATTATACTATATGACATTTAGCAGTCTCTTGGCAGTCTACTGCCGCTCCCTGAAGAGAACCTAAAGAAAAAGTTTCCCCTGGATTGATCTGAGATTAATTATATGCTAGACCTGCAGTAAGAACCCAGAGCAGAGGGACAAGCCCCACATGGTCTTTTCCAGGTTCACTGTACTTCCAGTGATTTCAGGGGAAAACAGCAGTTTGGCTCATCTGTGTCATGTTAGTTTGTGTGCAATATCATTTTTTGTCGGTTTGGATTAGGTTAACAACAATTTTAAAACACTGAAATATGATAAGGACCAATTACTAGAACTTCAATTGTATCAGTATTCAGTTGTGAGGCATTAGAGGCATCTGCTCTTTGATGGCAGAAAGGCAGCGGAGCCGGGAATGTAGACTGTTAAGAGTTTTAGGAATAATTGAAGCTGGGACTCGTCAGCATTAAAATGGTGGAATGTGTTGAAAAGGCGAATAATACGGCCAAGTGGAAGCCAGATACAAAGTGAATAAAATCAGGCCAAGTATCGGGCCTTGCGGGACCCCAGATGACGAGAAGATGATAAAAAGAGAGGTAACAGTAATAGTAAGAGGTTACAGTAATAATAGAATCCAAGAAGGTGTAGCTCCAGGTTCCATGGGGACTGTGTGAACTCAAATTAACAGGATGGCTTTTTTTTGAATATTTTTGAATAATCTTACTTTTTTTATGCTGGATAACAATGTCCCAGATGCTGCGCCTCGAGCAAGGATCAACTCCTGTGGTGGGTTCATCCAGAACCACCAAGCGAGAGCCTCCTATGAAGGCGATGGAGATTGACAGCTTGCGCTTCATGCCGCCCGACAGGGTGCCCACCCGCTTGTGTCTGTGAACGTACATTCCTGTCTCTTCTAGGATCCTGGTGGGGAAGCCAATGAAAAGCATGTTTTTTTCTATGCATTACAACCCAGTTTGTTTGAGTTACAGTTCCATCAGTTCGTCTACAGGGACCAGAGGAGAGCTACTGCTTTAGGCTCAGGCTTATTATTGCTTCTCTTGTCACACACAAACCCTGCAGAAATAGTCTCATGATGCAACAAGGAGGGTTTAATGTGCGGCTTACAATAAAAAAAGATTTTCCTCGTGCTTGCTCCCACAAATTTATCAAAAAACGATGCCAAGGAACAAAAAGACATAAAATATTACAATATTCTTATGGGAAATTTTGAGCTTGAATTATTTCACAGCTCTTGAGATGCTATATAGAACAGTTACTGTGTTCTTCCCGCGGATTAGTATTCTCGGACTCAGGCCTTGAGGTAGCTTTAAATTACAGTTAGTACGGCCATAAAATCTGACGCTGACCATATCTGAACATTACTTGGACACTTTTTTTTTAATTTCCCTGGTGTAACCGGTAACTGGTGTTGAGCACTGGCTAATGTTCACTGTTAAACTCTCGTGGCCTCTGTCCATATTTCTTTTTTTTATTGGCCCAAGGACACTGTTTATGTGATGTTGAGGCATAAACCAAATCAGCATGACAGATTAAACTGCATCATGCACAAACCCTGACATCATCTTAAAGATGCAGTGATTGCGATATATCGAGGATGATTAATCGCTTACGTTCGGACTTGCTCGCGCAGTTCCCCGCGCGACCAGTGTGGGGCCTTGATCTGGCTGTACAGCAGGAGGTGCTCCTTGGTGGTCATGTGTTCAAAGAGGACGTCATACTGCATGCACACGCCCAGGTCCTTACGAATGTCGTCGATGTTGGTCTGCATGTCTCTACCGTACACTTCTATTGTGCCAGATGTTGGGGCGAAAAGACCTGTCAGGAGAGACCTAAGCATAGAGAATGATAATTTAGTATCCAGGCACAATACTGGATTGACAGATTTAAAACTTTTAAGATCACCTCTGAGGAGGTTTTGATTGTTTTATGTTTCATAATACGGAAAAAGTGAAAATATAAAAAATTTACTAGATAATGAGCCTTTTTTATAAATCACATTTGCTAATATTTGCTACCTGGGACACAAAAAGGTTGAAAATAATTATTTTAGTTCAATTTTCTACTTTCTTGTACTTTCTCTTCTGGAACGATTTGCTGGGTAATTATAATTCCCTCTCGGTTTTGCTTGTTTTTTGTTAAAACTCTGTTAAATCTCACTCTGCTCCTGCACTTGTTGTGCGATGCTCCGAGCATAAGCAAAACGAGTCACAATTAAAATGTAAATGTAAGTGCTCCGGTTGATGAAGACAGAGCAGGCTAAGTTCTGCCGTGGTTCATTTGATGTGCCAGATTTGGACAAAACAATCTCCCTGTCAGCAGCAGACCCTTGAGATGATTAAAGGGATGCACAAATTAAATTTCAAAGATGCTGCGGCATAATATAAATGGTCAAAATGGGTTTCATCTTAGGACATGCTGAGAAAGCTAAGAAAACTCGTGACACATACATGGTGGTGGTCTTGCCGGCTCCGTTGTGACCAAGCAACGAGGTGACGTGGCCTTCGTGGAAGGAAACGTTGAGGTTTTGAATACCGACTCGGTTGGAGTACATCTTGTTGAGACCGTGGAGGGCGACGCCCACTGGCAGCTCAGAGAAATCCTCACCGGCCTGGAAGGAAAGCGTGCTCTTGCCTGAGAGAAACAAACGGAGACAGGGGGCAGCCTGTAAATCACACTAACAGAGGACAAGTATTAAATGACGGGCGAGGGACAAATACAAACAAGGAATCAGGGTTTGGAAAAAAAATGACAGACCATGAAAAGGAAGACATCATGTTCTTGCTTCAAAAACACAACACCGGAGGAGACAGCATAAGATAGTACAACATCTTTTTTTTTTTTTTCCTACCTTTTTCCTTGTTGTCAGGGAAGACAGGTGGGTTTTTCTGCATGATGTTGTTGAAGAGGAGTCCTTTGCCCGTCTGAGTCTTTGACTTAATGCAGCAGCACAGGTCGGCCCAGAAGGAGGCTTTGAAGGGGAAGTACCATGGCGAGGGGATGCCATATTTTCCTGATGGGTAAATATGAATTTGTCAACACATGAAACAGAAACGAAGAGACATTTCCCAGGCACTTCAAAAACTGCTGCATTGGCCTCATTGAATTGGGTTTCCCAAGAGGAAGCTATGTTTTTATTTATTCTGAATATTTTAATCTGACTAAACTGGCAAATTCAGGAATTTTCTTTCAGTTTCTTTGCAGCATTTACCACAGAATTTATTCACTTTGCGCTCAACAGAGTGACTGAGATCTGCATTACTATGAGGTCACAGTGGACAGTGAAAACTCTATAGATGATATCGCAAGTGAACATGTGGCAAATTGAGCTGGAGTGCATTGTTATTTTGAAGGTTGGAGTCACTTTTTGTGGCGTGACAAATTAGTATAGAATATGGCTGAAAAAAAAAAAGTCTGGCACATTTAGGGAACTAATATAGCACTTCAGCCTTATCTGAGTTTTGGTGCTTTTATTTTACCTGGAAAGACCATGCGGATGTAAGCCCCGATAGTGAAGTAGAGGGTTGAGTCGATGAACATCAGCCAGCACAGCCACCCGAACGAGGCTGTGTCACCAGCGATCGGTGAAGTGTACGAGTTGCTCCATTGAATCCCTAAAGAAGTGAATGGTAGAAGAGTTTTACATTAAGTTCCACTGACTCGGTTGGTGTGTTTTGATGGTGGGCAGAGGTCTGTACGTTCATACCTTCTCCTTGGGCCTCATAGCGAGACACATACTGACTGGCGTAGCTGAAGCAGGTTGGGGAAAACAAACTCTGCGGGAAAACAGGAGAAAAATCAGACAGAATGCAGGAACAGAATCTGTAAAATAAAAGAAGATCAAAACAATCTTCTTCCTCCCACAATGCCTCTGTGTAATTCTACTCATCTTTACTCTTGACAACTCTATGAAGAAGTGTGAAGAGAGCTACTTAAAAAGACTTTCTTAAAACATCATATATGGAATTTTGTTCAAACAACACTGCAAAAATAACAACAGAACTTCCCAATGAGAAACAACTGAAGGCAAAACCCACTGTTTATCCAGACTCTCTCATCACAGGGCTGGCATTTTTGAGGCTGTGCATATAAAACTTTAAATGAGATGATATCAGATGATATCATTGTTTTTTAAGATGGATGGAGTAAATTACATTTTGGAATGAAATGAAATGACAATGCATCTCCTTAGAAAAGGAGCGTATCCTTTTCTCTTCATTCAACTCTCTTCCAGAGCAAATTACATTAGTGTTTGAAGCTTCTACACATATCACATCAGTTTAATAAACAAAACTAATGATAACAGAGTTTCTGAGGTTCCTCACCAGAGCACTCTTCTGAGAAAAGGTGAGATTTGTCTCCATGGCCATGACCACGATGAAAGGGAAGAAGCAGAGGATGTAGAGGAGGCTGCCGCTCAGGCCAGCGATGTAGGTCTTGTCGAAGAAGGAGCTGACCAGGTAGCTGAAGGCAATGATGCTCAGGCCATAGTCGCACAGGTACAAGAACATGAGGAAGCTGTCGCTGTTGGGCAGGATTTTGCCGTATTTCAGCACCAGCGTGAGGATGACAATGGTCAACACGAGGTAGGTGGCGCACTCCACGAACCAGGCAAAGAAGTGGCTGAGTGGGTTGACCCCCATCATCTTCATGTACTGTGGGGCAAGAAAAAAAAAGAATGGGTTTCAAAATGTCAATAAAAACTATGGTTATATGTGTCAAACAGTTTCAGTCCAGATACATTTATTCCAGATCCATGAGGTCACTGTGACCTTTGACCACTGAAAATATTATCATGTCAAAATTTGAAGACATTGAGGTCACAGTGATCTTTGACCAAAAAAAATGTCATCCTTGAGCCAGATGTATCACCTTCAAAAGAATGCGAGGGCACCTTGACCTTTGACTTTGGACCACTAAAATCAAATCAATATTCTATTTATCTTAGATTCCAAGTGAGCATCGGCACCAAATTTGATTTAGTTCCCTCAAGGTGTTCCAAAGATATTGTATTCATAAGAATGGGACGGAAAGATAGAGAGACAACCTGAAAACATAAAGCCTCCTTCCACTGTCTGTTGCAGGCAGAGAGGAATAACAATAGTTTTTTAGTGTCTGTGAACGTTTACAGCAATGAAGACGAGGAAATACATGAAACAGTCTGGAAATAGAAGGAGAGGAAAGAGGAGTAAGCTCAAGTTTCAGAGAGAAAAGTATTGTCTTTCAGACCGTCAACTGCTCATCAGAAATCATTTGGGTTTGTCAGTGATTGTTTAACACAACCAGCCGACCCTATTATAACAGCAAGTCATGAAAACTCACAGGTGTCTGCTGAATGCAAAAATAAAGCAGCACATTTCATCATCTTTAGCCCTTACCTCATGCAGCCTCAATTCTCTCTCATGCACGAGTTTCTTCACAAAGTCGGCAATGAAGAGCACCCATGCTAACATCAGCATGATTGGGAAGACAAAAGAGATGGCCTCCAGGTACCTGGGGAATACAGAGGCACCAAGCGTTTGTCAAAAGTGGAAGAAAACGAACAACCAATCACTGTCAAGAAGAGGAGATGAAAAGGTCCATCACTCAGTCACCAGCTTAACAGAGACGCAAAGAGGTGCAGAGCATGAGAGCAACATCGAGGGAGGGTTTGGGGGAAATTTTGACAGCAAAGTTCTGATCCTTGTGTTATTTACGCAAAATAAATGCCTCTCTATTTTAGCTTTTTTTCTGTTTTGGGGCCTGACACATTGGGAATTTAGTGTTTGGAATTTTTAATGCTGCACGCCCATATTTCACAGCTATCATGTCAGAAACTGAGCTGAGTCATAAATCATAATGACAGAGAGGCAAGGATCATCATATCTTACAGTTGTTCAGAAGGCAGCGAGCCAAAGACAGTGGCCCACTAGTGCTTCGTAGATGAGATATCAGCGCTGTCTTAAGTCACACTCGGGGGCCGAGCACAAACACGGGCATTACCTTCTGGCGTGATTTATTAGACACAATGTTGTGTAACGATGCACAAGTTAATTCCAAACCCGTGTTGGACTGGATATCTATGCTGCGGAGATGAGTTGCGTTCTTTATAAGTGGGTATTGAAGGCCTGAAGGGTGTCTGAGTGTAAATATGAATGGCAAATGCACAACAATAGTGTTCACTTGGTGTGGAGCCAATTATAATGTGAAATGCTCTCGTGAAGGAACCCGAGTGGTAAATGAATAATGAGGGAGCCTGCATTATTCTACACCATCGCCTGTAAATCCATCCTGGGATCATTTGTTTCTTTACGTCTCTATGCATTCATTTGTAGCTCGTATTTATGTGTCGTTTGCTTGCACATGTATGTGCATCCATGGATTTAGATGACTCACTCATCACGCAAATGGCACGGGTAGGGGAAGGGCTGCAGCTGCACGGACGGCTCTGTGACTCTCTTCCCGGTCTGGGATTCGATGATAGCCCGGTCGATGTTCTCCTGTAGATACACGAAGCCTCGGTTGTAGCGCATGGTCTGCCTGGCCAGAAGGTGGGTGTCCTTCACAAAATAGGGGTCCCGCACTCTGTCAGTACGCATGACGTTGTCCATGTGCATGCGGATAGTGTAGCTGACTTGGGGAGGCAGGGAAGATGCGTTGGAGGAAGACCTGGCGTGACGGTTCTTGGATGAGTCGTCATCTTTGGGGAGCTTGAAGATGACACCTTAAAAGACAAGATTAATGTCATTGCACAGACTCTACATAAAGATGGACAACATGAACCACTCCCCAAAAGTGAAGCCAAAATGTCTCGATGGCCAGCCAGTGGTTGGCTGCAGTGCAAAAACCCTGCCCTCTCCAGATTAGTGGATGGGACGTATACCAGCCACAGAACAAAAAGTAGCAGCTAGCTCTCTAACTTAAAAAAGAAAGTGTGGTTAGATCTCACCAGCACTAGCCTCTCACTGGCTTCCAGTCATATTCAGGATTGATTTTAAGATTTGTCTTGATAAAGGATGAAACGGGCTGGCTGGCACTGAGGTCGACTAATCTGATGTTTCATCACCTGTTCATACCAGAATCGCTAAGACCTGGAAAATGTTTAAATCATTGCTAAAGACCAACATCTTCTGACTGGCTTTCAATTCCAGTTGAGTTTGAGATTTCCTTGATTTCATCTGCTACTGTGCAGCATTTTGATTCCCAGGCATTTATGATGTGTACAATTTTTTTGCTTTTTGCATTTTTTTATATATAATTTAGTTTAATTTATTTTCATGTTTTAAGCCAGTTGGTCAAATGTTGTTTTAAAGCTTCTATTAATACATTTTCACTTGTTGATGTAGTGGGGTTTACATTTGAGTAAATGGTTAAATGTACTTTTAAAGTTGGGAGATACTTTTAGAGACCGTGTTCACATTTATAAGATTTTACCCACAAACTAAAACATAAAGAAGTCCAGAAAAGTAATGAATTACTGTCCAGTGAAACTATAAACCTTGGTATTTGTTAAACTGGACTGTAGTCCTGTATTAATGCGGACATTCCGATCTGTCCGTAATACACAACATTTACTCACTTGCGTAGAGATTGCGATTTTTGGCGAGTTCCTGAGCTTCGTTGTTGAGCTGCTTGGCAGAGTCGTAGCCACGGTAACGGTCAAACTTGATACAGGAGGACAGGTCGACCATCAGGGTGGACAGGGTGGTAATCTGACTCAGTATGTGTTTGTTCTTCTCCAGCATCACCGACATGTTAGCTTTAGAGAAAACAGAAAGACATTGAGAGTGCAGAGTAAAAAATCATCTTTGACTGCTGTCAATCCAAATTAAAATAATGATATTTACTGTGTCTGTTCCTGTTAATTTACATTTTAGCATTTAAGATAGAAATACAGTCTGACAATACAAGGTAATCTGATTAAACGTCAGACCTAGAGAAAAAAAGATGACTGACATAATCATATCAAGCAGAGACACCAAAACAGAATCATGTTAAAAATTAGTATAATGTTTCTTATTAGCCCACATTCGGACAGTGTGGCTATTTGAACAGGCAATAATAGAGGCAGGAATATAAAGGTATGCTTTGTATCTGCAGCTTACGAAAGAGTAAGACCTTCACTCACAAAAGCTGCTAAGTGTGTCTTTCATTCTGTCGACATCGATGTCAGTCTGCATCTCAATGAAATTCTTCACAAAGGAGTTGCTGAGGGAATTCTGACGGGAGGGGAGAGAGAGCGGAAGAGATGATTCACAGCATCCACAGTCAGATGCCGAAACATGTTTGTTTCTCTCGACGGCAAAGACAATCAGATATGCAGAAGACATAAAAAAAATGTAAATACCTGCAGCATCGGCAGAGTGTGGCTGAGCAGTTCGGCAGAATTGATGATGTAGTCTGAGGATTGGATCCAGTCTTGTGAGTTTTTCCTCAGATTTGCAAACTCCTGCAAGGTGGCATTGGCCTGGGAAAGGGACAGGGACGAGAATGTATGAAATGGCAGCAGTATCAGCCAGAGTTCATAACCTGCAGTGTGTGTGTGTGTGTGGGGGGGTGTGTGTGGGGGTGTGTGGGGGTGTGCATGCATGAAGGCAGCGGTAGACTACAAACAAAGTCAAGCTTGGACAAAAAAAGAACCTAAGTAGAAGACAGTGATGCATAAACTCCATGAAACTACATTTCTTACCAGCTACTCCCAGTGGGGGGTACACAGGGACTTAAGAGGTAAACACAGCCTAGAAATAGCAGAAATAGCAGTGGCAACACATTTTAACCCAGATTTTTTTATCTAGGATTTAGAAAATAAAGGTTACGAAGGTCATGAAGGCACAAATCCCCAGAGCTGCTGACAGTGAGATGTTTCAGCTGAAAAAAGGAGAGGAAACTAAGATGGATCGTGAGAGGTAAATCACTACGAGTTTCAGGGCTATGTTGAGGAAAAAAAATATAGAAGATTTTGAGAATAAAGTTGTAATGTTCCGAGGAAAAGAATAAAGCCATAATTTTAGACTCATTTTAGAGAGGGAATATCAGAAGATAAGTATGTTGCCTGCGTTAAAAAGAGGAATGTGGAGCATCTCTTTAAAGGAAAGCTTACTTAAGGTTTCCCAAATAACCTCATACTTTGGCACATCAGCTCAGCGTTATCACAAGAAAAGATTGTGTAAGAGAAAGCTGCCTCTTTTGTGGAGGAGGAAACGTTTGGAGGTGGGCGACTGTATATCGTTGGCTGCATCTGTGTGCTGTTCAATGGGATTTAATACTTTCAAGATGAGACTGAAGGTTTTGGATCCAGGAGTTGTGGAACTCCAGCGAGCACCCGTTCTCCTTGCTTATTTATTTCGCTCAACAAATGTTTTTTTCTCTACACTCATAATACTACAATTTCATTCTTGAAATATTACAATTTTATTCTGCTACTGTTACAATTCTTATATATATATTTTATTCTTGTGATATTATGACTTTTTTCCTCTATTTTCATAGACTGGTAAATAATTCCCCTTGGTGAACCAGCTATCACACAGTCATAATACGTAATACTTAACAAAAGATAACATTTAAAACCTGAATTTTGTTTTTATATAGTTTGAGTATCACTTGGATTGGATTATACTTGGAGGAGGTAACATGTGCATGTGTGAATGTATAACATGTGCTGCATACCTTCTCCATTATGGCTCTTGTGATGGGCGTGTCAGGGGTGTACAGGATTTGCCCCATCAGCATTGGTTTGAGGAAGGCCCAGGCGATGGCTCCTCCTGTGGTGTTGACCATGTCCAGGTACATGTTCATGCAGAAGGGAGCTTCACGAGGGAGGAAGAGGAGGGCAATTATTTTTAGACTGTCTGAGGATCATTTTTAAGGTGAAAGTGTAAGGCTGCTTTTATTTGATATTTTCTTTCTGTCAAAAATTTCAATGAAAGGATTAAAACCAGGAGAGTCTGAGTTGTACGGCTTAGTAACATCCCTGCACTGAGCCCCGAGCCCATTTATTCCTGAGACTAGTGTTCAATCAACAATAATTGATGGTGGGATCAATTAATTTGTTACATCCACCAAAGAGATTATGTTTTTATCTCCTTTGGTTTGTCTGTCTGCAGGTTTACTGAAAAACTGCTGAACTGATTCCCATGAAATTTTGTGGAGGGCTGTGGCCTGATCTCAGAAAGAATCCATTACACTTTTAAGCAAATCTGGATAAACGGGCGGACTCAGGATTTTTTTTCTTTACCACGGTGAGATAGGGCAAATCACCAGGCTTATCCTTCAATCCTAAATACTTTGTGAATTGTCAAAGAGGCAAACGAAACATATTCCCAGAGTCTTGTCCGGGGCAAAGATGGTGACGTCAAATGTCACTTTGGGAGTATTTTTCACTGTTTTTGAGTTTTGAATTTCCACTGTCTGTGTCCACACATATAGAAAGTTGGAATATTCAACTTTAAGTCAGGGAAAAACAAAAATGGGAAAATGTCCCTTTGGTTTGTTTGAAGCACATTATTTCTTAATAACATTCTAACGTGTCATTGCTACTTCTGCAAATTCAATTCAAAAAACATAATACTATTACATCATACTAATAATGAATGCATTTGACAGCGATAAAATCCATTGAAATTACTGGATATCAACACCAGATATTCACATGTAGTAGTGCCTGCACTGACACTAAAAATCAGTTTCCAAAAGCTCCACATGTGTCTTCCTCCCTACGTACTGGCATTTCGTGGTATCTTGAACCGCTCGATCATCTCCTCCCTCTGTTGGCCGCTGGGGAAGTCGGGGTTCGGCTCCGACATGGGGGGCAGTTTGGAGATTCCAAATAGAGCCATGATACCGTTACTGCACAGCGCTCGAGAGAGGGTGACGAACGTAGCCTTGCTAGAGATGGATCTTTTATATCCTCTGGACATCTGCGAAGAAACAGAGATTGAGATAAATATGTTATAAGTTGCTAATTTGTCATGTGAATATGAGAGTTCCATTTGAAGGCTTAAAAAACAGTTTAATGCTGCGTGAACCAGTGTTCCACAGCAGAGAAGAGTCTGGTTGTTATTGCTGGTGTAAGTTGACACTTGTGTAAAGCTGAATAGAAGCAAAGAGTATACGCACAAGGTTGAATTCCTGGTTGGCCATCAGGTTGAGGTCTTCAATGGAGAGCAGGTAGCTTTGCAGTTTGTTGATTGTAGGAAGAATGTTGTTCATCATTTCAGTTAAAGACTCAGCCATCTGAAGCATAACCACCACCAGGCTCTGCATGTCTTCAGACAACACCACCTGAAAGAAACACATCAACATTCAAACATTTTCATTGCTCTTTTCTCTTTGCTCTCTTCGTCTTTAAAGTTGCGGAGGCCGTGGTTATTTTGCATGCTTACCAAGCCGAGGGTCTTAAGTCGTGCATGACTTTATCTTGCAAATGTCACTATTAAGATTAATAGGTTGCATTTTAAGGAAGATATATTTCAAACTTCAAGTTATTTGAATAAAAGTGTTTAGATAGTGAAGGCCTTTCCTGAAAATGAAAAATACTCTAATGAGAATATATCTCATAAGTTACACACACACATTACAAATATCCTTTCCACTTCTCGCTTCATCATATTTCAGCGTTTCTCAGTTTTATCTTTTTCCTTGTCATTGCTTTTGTTTTCTTTCATTGTATTTTGACATATCGTGCTTTTTTTCAGCCAAGGTAATAAGATAAGTATATCTGATATTTAGTCAATGTCTTAAGAGGCTGTTAGGTTATTACTCATCGCTAATATTTGCTTGTCAAATAGTTTTTTATAATTCTAATCCTCATTTTATAAATTCAGTGTAGACCTGCATGTACAAGCAACATTAGCCCCATAAAATTCAACAAAGCAACTCAAGGTGTAATTTCAACACAGTAGCACTGTGCATAAGCAGTTTCAGTTATTAGGGGAATTACATGCTGCCTTTTACGAGGCATAAAGCAATGTAAGCTTTTAACTGTAAAGAATGGATGAATGTCAAATATTCACACTTCTTTTAGCTCTGCTTTCTCCTCCACCGGAAATACTGAAGTAATAAGTAGACAATTATGATACTATATGTTTGATGCTAGGGAGATAGCACACAGTGGACCGAAGACATCCTGTCATGTGTGTAGCAGAAACAAGCAGAAACGTCAAAATGAACTAAAACCGTTAAGCTAATGACCATAAAATAAGAAAAGTGAACTGAAACGTGCTAAAAAGCCTCATGAAGCTGAGGGAAACTTTGTATTATTTATTTTAACATTAAAAGTGTACATTTCTATTTATATGATTACTTGTTCTCATAAAAAAAATTGAACTTTCAAAAAGGCTGAGGATCGATCACTTAAAATGTGTTTAGAATCAAAATTCAAGTCTAAACTACTAAATCAATCAGTCTTGAACAAGAAAATGTTGCACATGAAGTAGAAAGAAGATTTAAAAGAGAAAACCTTTGAAAACCTTATTAACTACTGCATCAATGCAACTACACCTTGCTATGTCTCATATTCAAGCATGAATAGTTGTATGAAGTTTTTGGGATGGACAGTGTCTGCTGTCATGGATAAAATGAAAAAAAAACAGTTAGTGATTTTTTTTTAATGTGTGACAGAGCTTTGTCTGGTGAACAAACGTTTTCTCACATAAAAGCTTTTCTCTCCAACTCATCTATCCCTCAAACAAACACACCGTGGAATCAAACGTGCATCGGGACCCACAGAGACGATTTCTTTAGCCACTCTGGCTGTTACAGAACAATGTGCAATCATCACATTCACACATTCACTACAAAGTGAAGACATTTTACCATTGAAGACAGTCAACCATGTTGTTTTCTTGTCTGGGGACAAAAGACGGGGCCTTACTCTGTAGATGACTTTTTCCATGTTGAGATGGCGCACCATCAGCAGTGAAAAGCTGTACCACTGCTCAACACTCATGGAGCAGAAGGTCTTTAAGATGGCCGCGTCTGACGCTTTCATGTTCACTGAGGATGTGGAGGTGCACTGACGCAGGTTCACCAACCAGGACAGGATCTGTTCCAGAAGAGATAAACACAGTTGTGGAAAGAGGCGACAGAGGCAGAGGGGATGATACATCATGCACTGAACCACAGAAAGGTATAAACACGAGCCATTCTCTTATAGCACATCCATGTAGTTGATAAAAGATTCCTACTTTCATGGTGAACAGGCTTCCCGATTAGAGTGTGAACAGAACTTGATTATCTACACCGTTTACCCTTTGTGGGTCAATGGGGAGCTGGAGCATATCTCAAACAGAATGCTGTCAGGTTCAGGTCGAGCTCCGATTATTCTCGCTCCGGCTCGGATGGTTTGGGACAGAAAAATGCAGCTCCAGACGCACATGGGTCTAAGTCCTCCTCCATTTAGTAAAATAAAATAAAAAAAGACATTCGTATTATGTCTGGCGACGTCAATTTTACCTCTCTGAAGACAAGAATGGCAGGTGATCAAACACGTGTCAAGTGTCAGCCACATCCAATTGTTCTTGGAGCTGGCAATTATGGAAATGTGTTTGCTCCGATTGGAAGGACGTTCACAAGTCACACAGGTCGGCTGCAACTCCGTTTAGTCTTATTTCACTCACCTGTGCAGCGTGTAGACACAATAATGTGTTACCTCCATCTGATAAACTCCATTTAAGTGCACTTTATTCCTGCAGTCGTACCAGCAGAGACTTTCAGACGACAGCCTTTTATTCCACTAAGTCATGTCTGCTCTGGAGAAATGGTCCGTGGAGTGATTTTGATTAGGCCTGTAAATCCGTATCCATTGTACTGTAACGTCAACAGTTACAATTTTTTTAAGCTTGATTGATATTGTATTAAATAGAACAAGCGTGCTTTACAAAAGGCACCTTCTTTGCCATTAGCTGAAGGTTACAGGGTTCTCTGGAAATGAAAGTGAAGTTACATTTACTGTAAATTGCACCACGCAGCAGCAGCCTTCAACAAAGTGCACAGGCTTTACAGGTTGCATGAAAAAAACAAAACTCTGAAGCAATATTAAGTCTACAGCACATGCTAATTAAAACATGGCACATTACCGAAGCTATAGAAGGTCTGCTCCACCCCACAGCCTGCAATGTTTCGTGGGAATTATGAAATGTGAAAAATTGGACCTTGGTCGACATTATTTGCAGAGGATTATGGGAACAAGGCTTCTTTGCACCAGCAGATTCCATGTGTCTTCAGGTTCACTAAAGCCTGCCTCAGACTACAGGAGTTTTACGACCCTGACCAATTAAGAAATCAGGTTGCATAACAAACTAGAGGAGAATCTTTGAAGATATTCTTTTGTCTAATCTCAAACATGGACAAACAACAAGATTTAAAAACAGTGGCACATCACACACTACAGGATATTTTTAAGATTGTTGCTCAAGAGGTAGCCACACACTCCCTTGTGTCACCACTCTGACACAAACAAACAAATGACTCTCAGTAATAATAATAATAATAATAATAATAATGCTTTGCAGGGATATACAATGACAGCAGAAGAAACTAGTCTGGTTAAGAAGATGGTTTGGGGGACAAAGTCAACATTGTCTATAGCGCCCACACTGCAGAGTTAAAGTCATCCATGACAACTCTGACTTGTCAACTACTTGTCAACAACAACAGTGCCCCCTGCTGCATAACTGCTGTAGATGCCAGTGCTTTATTGGACTACTGTACCATGCTAAACCCACAGATAAACAACTAGTATACAACAGCACACAGTGTCTTTGATTATTATAGTTGACTAGTCGAGTAGTCTGTCCAACTAGCTTGTAATTCTCTGCACTTCACTCGTATAGTAGCTTGTTTTGCGGTAACCATTTCAAAAGCTCGCCTCAGCCCTCTCACTGGTTCCACTAGTCCAGACGCAATCATCCCGATTTTAAATCCTAGATATTAACCATGTATGATAATTATCATGGTGGCCCCGATGATTCTGTGGTTCCAGGTTCCAAATTTGGGTCAAATCAGCTCAACATTCCTATTGTCTGAGCCCAGTTTGAGGCAGTGACTTTATGTTTGCTTGCACACTTACAGTATGTGCTGTTATTAAGGGGAAGTTTAATGAGATGCAGCTGGCTCACCTCTAAATTGTTGTTTGGTACAACGGCATCCATCAGCAGTTGCAGAGCTGCTGGATCGAAATCCATGTGCCGCTGAACATCCTGAACAAAGTCAGCTTTATCTCTCAGCAACTCACCAACCGTCACCTCTCCTGGGAAGTAAAGTCATAGAAGTGTGAGCCAAAAAGTTTTTATTTTCTTTTTATATATTGAAACTAAATATCTAGTTTTATTAGATTTCATAATTCATGCTGCAGAGCAGTTGCATTGTCTACCACAGAATGGATGCTAAGGCTGGTTTAAGTGTTTTCTCAAACAGCTTTATTTGTTTTTATTGCCAATTGCCATAACTGCTGTTATACAGAAACTGCTCTTTAAAAGAAAAGAGAGAACAATATTCAGTGACATGTTTTCTAATTCAGCCATTCACAATGAGACAGGATGCCTCAGGATTGTAATTATGTTTCCAGCCAGGTCTTCAAACATGTTTACTGGAGTAACAATCGTGGACAATATGACATCAGAGAAATGTGCTGCTCTAATAAGTTGTTAGATGATCAAGAGGCGAGCGGGGAGGGGACATAAGACACAAAAAGACACAAGCGAGCAACAGGTGAGATGAAATGAGCAGTCGGTTGTCATGGAAACAAGGTTTGTGATGTGCTCATAGCCGACCAGGCAGGCGGCATCCTTTTAATACAAATGTGACCACAGCCTTGAATCCTACATTTTGAACAGTTAAGAACCTTTGGATTATGAAAAAAATGCACCTACAATGAAAAAGTCATTTAGATTTGAGTTTTTTAAGCATAGTTGCCGAACTAGGGGACTGTTGGGCTTTGGTTAGTTTTTACTGACTGCCATTCTAACTTTAGGTTTCTATTCCAATTTTAGATTACATTTCTTTAACCTGATTTATCTTGAGAATTACCCATCAGGAAACTGGTTGTTAGAAAAGGGAACATGGGGAAGAAGTATTCTGACATCATCCTCTGTCACTGTATTGTAATAATTAAATCATAATCCTTGTGTACAGAATCATATTAAGAAAAAAACACGTTGTCCCATATAGCATAATATTAAATACAAAAGCTGTAAAATACAGACTAATGTCTCACCTGGGGAGGTGACGTTAATGTTGAGAGAGCGCAGGCTGCTGGTGTCCAAACCTTGACCCAACATAGAGGTCCTGTACACACACATAGATAGAGAGAGGAAGAGAGAGGGAGAGAGAGAGAGAATAAATAAAAAAATATACAAGTCAGTATAAAGTTGACATCAAAATCTTGTGTGGTGAAATGTGTGTACTGAAACAGTGCGGCCCCACTTCCTGCTGCTTTTTAGGAAAATATACTAAAGGAGATAAGTGAGGGGTAAAGATCTTGACAAAGGTGAGGGCAGCTTTCCGTGAACAAACCGCAGTAGAAAGCCATTTAAAGAAAAACATTTACGAAGGCCAAAGCCAGTACCAGTTCGACTGGATGTTGTAGTTTTTGGGCTCCCCGATGAAACTCTGGAAGACGGCATCGGTCAGCACACTGGCGTTTATCATCAGACTCTCTGCCAGGATCTGCAGGCTGGGCAGGATGGTGCCGCACAGCTGACCACGCTCTATGGAGAGGAACCACAGCAGCTGATGCATAGTCTCCGTATCCTCCAAGGCGCACACCTACGACAAATCAGTCACGTAAGTCACCATGAGGAGCTTCTGGAGTCTCGTCAAACAAATGCAGCCAAGATTGGGTTAGTCATGAATTGCAACCCACGGTGGTGTGGGTGTGTTTAACTAGATTGTTCACTTCAGGACTTTAGGTTTTAAAAAATGAATCCACTCCAAATCAAGTAATTTGATTAAGCTGTTTTCCTTTTTCTCAGGGTTCTCTGTCCATAAGTCTGACTTCTAGTTTCACCATTCAGGTCTGAAGAAAACGTTGAATAACCTGATGATTTATAATTTGCTGCCTTTTTTTGGTATTAAAACCAAATAATGGCTTTTGACATTTAATCAAAAAATGTATCAGCATTACTATCAGGATCAATGAAAACCCATCTTATCCAAACTGTATCAATGCTGTTGTAACTGTTGAATATTCATGTCCATGTCGCAGCCGTATTTTGCTAGTATTTAACTGCCAGTTGACTTTATTAGACTTTAGGTCAACAACTTTCAGAGTCATAACTGAGACGGCATGAACACCCTTATAAAACTGAACACGTTTATCATATTGGTGCATATGAGAGTGTCATAGCCCTAATTGCAAGTGTTGTGTTGGAGCTGTACATTTTGCAATATCAAAATAATTCAAATGTTAATTACTTTTAATAAAAATATGCTTATTAAATAGCTTTATCTTGTCAATGTTTTCAGCCATTGTTTTCAGCCACTGCTGATTATTCGCAAATTATCATCAAAATAGTGCAGAAGATGTTCAAACGTGCAAGGGATATTGACCGTCTCGTTTTAAAATTGATGAATGGTGTTTGTGATGATTGTGTAAAAGTGTCAGGGGTAATTCAGAGACCTGGGATCTCAGGAGGGTAAGTTTCTCTGAGAGTTGCTGGTCGGTCATGTTGCTTTGGAAGAGCTCAGTGGCTGTTTGGATGACCTGCTGCATGAGCATCAGGATCTCTGTGAGGGGAGGAGAGAAGAAGAAAAGAGAAGGAGGGAAAACATTAGGGTTAGAGAGATGGACAGATTGGAAGGAAAAGGTGAAAAGAGATCAATAAGCTCTGAAAGGTAAAGGAACAACACAGCATCCCGCTGGGCTTCATTACGACTCGTGTCATTGAAGGGGCCGGCGTCTTCGGGCGGCGAGCAGCAAATGGTGCTCTTAAAAGTGAGGCCCGGTGCGGCACTGACGGAGCCAGAAGAGCCAGATGATGTGGTGCATTAAAACACATCTGACAAGCCCTAAGAAAGGCACCACCTCAGGTAGTGAGATGTGATGACAGAATATTTAATTAAGCTAAAATTAGACAATGTTCATGTTAAATCTCAGGAGGCTCAACACCTAGAGGCCTTTGCAATTACAGTTCACTGTGTGTGTGTCTGTGTGTGTGTGTGTGTGAGTGTGAGGAATATTAGCGGCTTTGTGGAGAAGTGGAGCTGCTTACAAAGTGATTCAGCGCACTAAAAACATTATCGCACAAACACAGGCGGCGATTAAAAAGGAGGTCATAGATGTCCACTTGTGCGAGTGCGAGGGGAGACATTTAGCGAGGGCGGACAGGATAAGTGATTGAATTCTACTTTGCTAATGAGATTTAAAAAGGTGCTGAGTGGCTTTCTGCTGGAGAAGGGCCATATGGCCTTAGGCTCTTTGGGAGCGCGAGCTAAGCTGGTGTGAAGTCTTATTCCTCATATCTCCAGAATGAATTATAGCACACTATAATCATGTTTACAATAACAACGGCATTAACAAAACGTTTTACGGTCTTCCCGTGGTCTCGCAATGGCTGTGAAGGTCAGCGCGAGAGGTGGCACTCTTCCAAGCTGCGCGGCTGTTTTAGTGGCACAGGCTGGCAGACTGTGCGCCTGCAGACATATACATGGGGTCACAGCAGGTATGGAGACACAAGGTGCAGCATCAGTGTGAGACCGAACATGAGTGCAGAGCAAATTCGCTGCGGAGTCAGGTGGTAAAGTTAATTTGGAGGGACTGGAAGGATAGAGCAGTGTTTACTTGGGCATTCTCCATTCAACGCCGTCTAAATGTCTCTGTTCCTGAGAAGCCTCTGAAAACAGCAGATCTGATCTGTAACGTTACCTTGAGACTCATTGGCCAGAATCCGGGTGATATTTTTTAACACAGGGGAGAATGGAATGGCATCTGGAAGCTTATCAACAGCACTCGTCAGGAGATCCATCGATGACCTGGGGAAGAGTGAGCAAAGAAATTTAGATCCCTGCTTCCTTAAAGCTACATTTAACCCAGTGTTAATGATACTCACATCTGAAATGCACTGGATAATGTGAAGAAGGAGAGCCCCTCAAGAGCAGCATTAATGGTCTCTTCCCGAGAGGCATTCAAGCCCCATGGCACGTCCCTCGTAACTCCCTTCAACACAACACTCAGATCAGGATTGGCAAAGAACATGTGGACTGTCTCCAAGATTTCTCCTGAGGTGGGAGGAACGGAGATGGCTCTGAACATGGAGGGGTAGTCAATGAAGAACAAGTCAATGAAGTCATCCATGGGGTCCCTCATTGGCATCATCAGGGCCTCGCGTCTGTGTCGGACCATCACTGAATGGTTACCGCCGGTCATTTCTGGCCTTGACATTCCCAGCTGCTGATGCATAGGAGACAGAAGACCAGGGGTGCTCAACAACTGCCTCAGCATTGCTATGACGTTCCCGGCTAGGTCCTTGAACAGCTCAGAGTTTTCCGGCATTTGCACTCCCAGCTTGGTCAGGAGGGACAAGATGGACCTGAGGATGTCATACATTCTGTGCAGCACCTGCATCAGCAGATCCAATCCGGACGCTCGAGTGGAGCCCAACCACGTAGTCATCTCCAAAACCTTCCGCACAATCAGAGCTGTGTCGTTGGATGCCAGGATTTGCTCCAGGGCTTGGTAAACCATGGGGTCATCACCAAGTAGTTTCAGCTCAGTCATGAGTTTGACAACTTCTCTCATCGTGTTGATAATGGACGCCTCGTTGAGTCCGGAAATGTTCCCCAACATCGTGGAGAAGATGTCACCTGTGGTGATGTTGGCAGAGGTTAGGAAGATCATCGCTGTCTGTTTGAGGAGGTCCTGGGAGGTGCTGCTGTTTTGAAGGAGAGGGGCATTGCTGATGAAGTAACGCACTGCTTTCTCTAGTGCCTCGATGTACGGCTGGAGGGAGGGGGCCTCTTTACTCAGCTCGTCTGTGAGCATTTTGATTGAAGACAAGCTGTGGACGGGAGAAATTCAATGAATTAATGAAAAATTTGATTCAAAAAACAAAAGCATGTCTATTGACAACTGACTGAGAAAAACAATGATTCAACAGAACTCATTTTTGGCCAGAAGTAATGTTTCTCATTGGCTTGGTTTTCTTCTTTCCTCGACAACATATTGCTGAGTCTTTCCACTGTGATAAATGATCTATAACTTATGTAGTCAGACCTGATTGATTACCGGCAATATACAGAATGTGATCATTATCACCATGCCCGGCTTAATATTGCTTCTGGCGTATAAAGGGAAATCAATTCTGAAAGGATATCGCACTTAGCTGAATCATTGTTACACCACTATCAACGCAGGATGCCCTGTTTTTCAGCCAGAGTCGCATGAAATGAATCAAGTTGAATGCAAATGTGGTGTCTGCCAGTTTTTTGTGCGATTATGCATTGAATCGAATTGGCTTGACATTGGTGCAATGTCGATAATGTTGTAACAACAAATGGAGCAGTTAGTTCATGTGTGAGGAGTCTGTGTTGAAATGCAGCAGATGGATGCAGAACATTTGCACAATTTAAACACTGCAATCCATGATTTAAACTGTGACGTTCAGTGGGTTTTGTTTGTGGCTGTAAAACATGTTGATACAACTGACTCACACTCTCCTCATATTCTATTGTTGCATTGCAGCCTGTCAGTCTGATCTACTGAAGGGGACAAAAGTATGTTTTGATGTTCTAATGCAACTTTTGAACATTGTGTCTGCTATGACACAATCTGAATACGGCTGTAAATAAGTCACCTGTTCTGTAACTGTATGTCCTGGAGCTGCTTGTTCCAGTAAAGCTGCGCCTGCGGGCTCAGAGGCTGGCCTGCCAGCGTCGAGAGCTGCTTGGAGAAAGCTGAGATAAGCTGCTCTGTCACAAGTGATTGGTTGACAATGACGTGGTACAGAGCCTGCATGGTCTCGGCAATCCTGGCAGCAGTGGCATTCACAGTCGTCGGCCCCACGCCCATGTGCTGTGCAGGCAACATACAGAGAAATGGACTGTTAGCAGCTGGCAGCTTTCTATGTGTGTCAACACTGCCACCAAGTGGTGCAACTCTGAACTGTATATATTATTTTAATCTCTACTCACAGTTATGTTAATGTGGGAGTAGAGAGTTATAGCTGCAGCATAGGCCTCAATAACAGGCTGCAGGCTGATGTTGCACCACATAGCCATGGTGGCAGGGCTCAACCCGGCTGCCTCACTGACCGGCTCCCATGCGCTGAGAGCTTCATTGCACCCCAGTGTGCCATTAGCCTAGAGGGGGGAGAGAGAGAGAGAGAGAGAGAGAGAGACAGCAACAAAATGGTCAAAGATCTGATTGTGTTTCAACTCTATTGTTCAGAGAAAACCAGTTCAGAGTGGATGGGAGACAAAAAGCAGAGGCACGAGGGAAATATCATAATCTCTCTGTTCTGGCACTTAAGAGGAAACA